TGTGATCTTGCTAAACTAACATTAGTTCTAGCAATTTTTCCTACTTAGTGCTATTTTCTTATATTCTATAGGAGTTTCTGCATAGGTAATTGCCCATGGATAAGCTCACATTTACTTCTGCTTTTCTAATTTGTATGTCTTAAATTTCTTTTGTTTGCCAAATCACAATGATCAGAACCTCCAATACAATTTTGAAAAGAAACATCCATATTTTGTTTCCAACTTTAAGGAGAAAGTGTTTAGTCTTCTATCATTAGATGTGATTTTAGCTGTACATTTTTCATAAATGTCTTTTATCAGGCTGAGGAAGTTCCCTTCTACTTTTTATTTGCTGAGAATTGGATTATGATGTGCTTTGGTGTGACTTTGTATCTGTCCTGCTCTGGGCTCATTATGTTTCTTGGATCTATGGGTTTATAGTTTTCATTACAGCACAAGGAAGTGAGTGGTAAGCAAGGAAGGGTGACAGATATAGTGGACTGATGTGAAATGCAGTGTGCCTAGCATTCAATTCTTTAAGCACTTTTTCCAGTTCTGTATGGTTTGGGTGATGATCCTATACCACCATACCCCAAGACTGAGTTCATGATTCAAGCTGAGTTAATCAGAACCCTTCTTAGGACTTCTCTTGTTGACTATACCTTTGGGTTAGAGTGAACAGATAAAGTAACTTGACACTGCCTTGACATTGCATTCTCTCAGGACGTATGGAGCAAACTGTCTGCAGACACAGAGAATAAACATGAAAAGAAGAGCCAAAATGACCTAAGAAAGCCCTGAAGATATCCAGGCTCTGGGACTAGCCATGTGGAAGTAGCTCCATGTTAGACTTCTTAGTTTTGAAGGCTAATAATAAATTCTTCTTTTGCTTAAACTAACTTAAAGTCAAATTTTTATTTTTGTCAACTGCAATAAAGTCCTAATGCCAACCAGGAATTTGGAATTTCTATTGAGGGAAAAGGTGGGGGTGTAATATATTTAGGTGTACATTTTAAAAAGACCACTTTGACCTTAGTGTGGAAAAGGAACAAAGAAAGGGTCAAATGAGAGGCAGGAAGACCACTATGACATTACTGCAGGCATCTAAGTGAAGTAATCTCATTAAACTCTAAAAACCCAAAATAGTAAGATAATTGAGCAGATAATGGTGGATATTAAGAAAACAGTCTTGCTTAGAAATTGGTGACTGATTGTATTTGGAACGAGAGGGAAGAATTTAAAAATACCCGTATTTTGGAGTTGAGATTTCATTTTTTTTTTTTTAACAAATCCATTTAAAAATATGGAACGCTTCACGAATTCAGATAATAAAGACTTAAGTAGAAAGTAGAGGAGGAGGGGGGCACCTGGCTGGTTCAGTTGGTAGAGCATGCAACTCTTGATCTCAGGGTCATGAGTTCAAGCCCCATGTTATGTGTAAAGCTTACTTAAAAAAAAAAAAGGAAAGAAAAGAAAATAGAGGAGGAGGAGGAGTGGGCAGATTTCAGGGAGATAGGAATGAACGCAGATCTGGTCACATTTTGACTGAGGAGCTTTGGAGGTCATCTAAGTGAAAATGTTCATTACACAGGCAGAAACTCAGGTGTGGGCTGGAGATATAATACTCCTAACTCCTGCATGGTAAATTGATTAATCTTTTTTTTTTTTTTTTTGAGAGAGAATGAGAGAGAGAGAGAGAGTATGAGAGGGGGGAGGGTCAGAGGGAGAAGCAGATTCCCCGCTGAGCAGGGAGCCCAATGCGGGACTCGATCCCAGAACTCCAGGATCAGGACCTGAGCCAAAGGCAGTTGCCCGACCAACTGAGCCACCCAGGCGCCCTAAATTGATTAATCTTAAAAAGAGTTCGTCTTCCTGACAGGAGCTTCCTAAATGCAAAAAGCATAACCAAGAGTTTTAAAACAAAATTTTAATTTAAAACGTCATGATGCAGTTTAGAAATGTTTATTTGCAATGAAAAAAAGTAAAAATAATAGTATTGTTAAATATTTGAAGTGTAGAACAAAATTGAATAAAAATAGATTATTTTTAATAATATGATTATTATATTATTATTATAGCAGAGAAGTGTTCTTATAAGTTTTTGGATTTAAGAGTCTTATCATTTAGGGGCACCTGAGCGGCTCAGTAGGATGAATGCCTGCTGGATCAAGTCCCGAGTTGGGCTCTCTGCTCAGTGGGGAGTCTGCTTCTTCCTCTGACCCTCCCCCATCTCGTGCCCTCTCTCAAATAAATAAAATCTTTAAAAGAAAAAGTCTTATCATTTAGCTTTAGTCTTCTTATGAGGAAATTTTTCTTTTTTAAAGATTTTATTTATTTGACAGAGAGAAAGCCAGGGAGGGAACACAAGCAGGGGGAGTGGGAGAGGGAGAAGCAGACTCCCTGAGCAGGGAGCCTGATGCGGGGCTCGATCCCAGGACCCTGGGACCACGACCTGAGCCGAAGGCGGATACTTAACGACTGAGCCACCCAGGCGCCCCAAGAAATTTTTTTTTTAAGATTTTATTTATTTATTTATTTGAGAGAGAGTGAGAGAACACAAGTAGGGGGGAGTGGCAGAGGGAGAGGGAGAAGCAGGCTCCTTGCTGAGGGGCTCAATCCCAGGACTCTGGGATCATGACCTGAGCCGAAGGCAGGTGCTTCATTGACTGAGCCACCTAGGTGTCCTAAAAAATTTGTTTCTTAGGAAAATGAAAGTTTGAAGAGTTTAAATGATTCACTAGAAGACTAAAAAATATTCTGGAAAAAAAAAAGCTTTATTAAGAGAATTTAAATGAAGAAACTGATAGAAAATGAAAGAAAATTATGTGCCCTTTCAAGACCTTTACATTCAATATTCCAGTTCTTCATTTTCTTGATACAACTGTATCACTATCATAATTTTTCCTCTCATGAGTAAGAGGAAAAAAGAGGTGGGAAGTATCCTGAGGAAGAGAATGAGCAATCTGTGAATCCTGAGATTGAAATTAACTATATATAACATAAATGTGGAGGAAATGCAAGTGATTAGCAGAGAAGTGTTCAATGAAAAAAGTCACTAGTAAGTCACATATGTTATAACTAAAGAAATGTTGAACATACATCACATGCATTTCAGGGTCAATATCCCATACCTTGCACAGTTACTCAAAATAGATTTTTCTCTTCTTTCCTGACCATTTTGCCAAATGAAAATGATCTACCTAAAAAAATTTGTCACAATCAAGATCTTCAGTGACTCGTCATTGCCTACGATGAATGCACTGTTTCATAAATAATGTTCAACTTATTATTCGTTGCCTGTATATGTTTAATAGTCACTATAAAGAAATAATGTGTTGAATAAACAAGTACAAGATATATTAATACAGTGGATAAATGTGCTAGAACAATGCTACTCCAAGCTTGATCCACTGACCACCAGTATCAGCATCACATTAGAGGTGGAACATCTGTTTTAGCAGGTTATCCAGGTGATGCTTACAAATTACAAGTTTTAGAAACACTGTTCTAGAGAGCTAAAAAGGAGGGGACCTAAGTTCTCTTAGGGATCTCACCCTCCCAAGGGTATGGAAAACATCTGCTATGCAGCTGGAACTGTTAAACCCTCTCAAAAGTGCTCTGTGATAAAAGGAACAGGGTTCAGATGTCTGACTCCTAAGGACCATTTAGCCATGCTAGCTTACAGTCCTTTTAAAAGATGTAGCTTCAATATCGTGAGTTGAGTATATTTAACATATATATTAATATGCTTGTGTGTAAATGGGCTTAAAAATATATATATTTATAGCAGAATTGGAGTCACAGCTAAATAACATTTAAGCAAGACTTTCATTTTAAGTAGACGTAACAGAATTTTAAGTTTACAGATTAACAATGCATAACTTACATTCATTTTACATATTCAAAAAAACTGAACTTAAGGAACTGAAAGCTGAAAAATATGAGAGGTAGTGGTACCTAATGAGTGACATTTTGACAGTCTATTAAATATTATGTATTAGATTACAGGAAAAAGGGAGCTAAATTCTAAGAGAATAAATACAAAAAAGGTCAACCTATGATCTTGGGAAAAAACGGGAAGGAAAATTATTTTCAAAATGTACTATAAAAATTGTTAAACCTGCTTCAATGACAATAAGCAGAAGGTAATTACTCTTGATGGCATAACAGGTGAGAGGAAAGAAGTCCATGTCCTTGCTTTTTTGTTAGTCCTGGTCATTCCCACTCTATTCTCCTTCCTTGTTGTTGCCATGACTTGGTTTCGTTATTCCAATTTGTTGAAGACTAAAAACTACATTACTAACAATTTTACTTTATATATTGTGTCTTGGGTAAAACTCATTTGCTGTGGTTACTGACTGGGAGGAAAAAGAATCAAACAGGGAGCAAATTCCCAGATGAGGCTTCTATGCTGGTTTGGTGCACACACTTTGAGAACCACTGCTTTAATGCAGTCGGTAATCAGTCACAAGGACTGGTAGGTAGACACTAAATGCAAAACAGTATCTCCTTGTGTAGGTTTTTAGGACATAGAATATTAGTTACACGTTTGCCACCTGCTCAAAAAATAGCCAAGAATATCTTCAAGAATTACATTTGACAAAATTAGTAGGTAGAAGAAATTTCTTTCCAAAGATGAACCCAAACCTAAATGATTTTTTAAGAGACAGTGTTTATTTGCCTATATTAGGATTACTGTAGAATCCAGTGTTATGGGACTTGCTCAGCTAGCCTATTTAAGTTTTGATATCAATATCCTTGGACTAACTTGAAAATGAATAGTATAAATTCAAAATTTCTGCCTTCATTAAATTAAAAATAAGAATTTCTAAATGTTTTTATCTTTGTGTTAAGATAAGTAATCTTATTTCACTTGTTTTTTAAACCTGATTATTAAAAAACAAAATAGTAATAAAAAATAATTCATCTGGCAAATGTACTGTTTGTAGATATTAGCCACTTGTTAAAAACACATTTCTATTAAAATTGTTCTTAAATTCTTAGATTTAAAGCACCTGATATCTGGACCCAACTGAGCTTTTATTTTACAGATTAAAATGCATGGATGACAATACATTACAATAATTAATGAAGCCGTTCTAGTTTAGCCTGGAGAGATTTAAAATTTCCCGTGATGGCTTGTACTGCCACTGAAGAGCTCATAGACTGAAGCTCAACCAGATAACCACAAATGGCATCCAGGCACAGATTCGTAAATCTTCTCCTGTAAAGGAAAAGATACCTGATCAACTATTGATACATTTAGAAACATTTCCTCCTGTAAGACTTCTCTCCAACTTCTGCTAAACTTACTATAGTCCCAGAAAGAGCAAGGAGCATACGATTAAGTAAATGGTAAATAAATGAAAACAGACAAGAAATGCAGGGGGTAGGTGAATTACCACATGACCACCATATTCCTTTGGAAGATTATAATGGGAAGGAGGCAGTAAGGATGATTCCTTAAATTAATATTAAATTATTTACATTCTTTTGGTCTTTTCAAACAAATATACCTTCTAATGGTCAATAATCTCAAAGACATAACTGAATTGCCCTAGATCACTAATTCAATGCAGAAAGAGTTTAGAAGTAATTCAAAAATTACATCATTTACCTATAGAAAGGATTCAGGATGGGGGGTGAAAAATGGAAAAAACTCTAACCTTTCATACATGCTGATATCATTCAAATAGTTAATCTCCATATCTTCCCCCATTCTAACTTTATTGCTCAGATACTTATTAGAAAACATTTAAGCTTTTGCCATAACACAATACCTAATTCATAGTTACCTCTCACAATTTAAAACCTGGCTAGGATTCTCAACATATCTTGCCAACAGTACATGTATACAATCCAAAAGGTGCAGTGGCTTCTTCATTCTGTTCCAGAATGGATCCTATAAAGAAAATATGTCACGAGTTGTAAAGCAAACTGTGTCAACTGATTTTTCAACCATTTATGTTATTAGTTAAACCAGTTATCAGAGTCCCAGGCAAAATTTCCCAGTATTAAAATAAGCATTTAACGCAGGAGCACTGTGACAATGGGTTTGCTGACGGTTCTCACTATTCTGTGAGGACACCTGCAGATTGAAAGTGAGGGGATAGAGAACCATAATCATGCAAATGGACATCAAAAAAAAAGAAAGAAAGAAAGAAAGAAAAAAAGGAAAAAAAAAAGAAAGAAAGAAAGAAACGAAAGCTGGAATAGCCATACTTACATCAGACAAATTAGATTTTATTTATAAGATTTTTGTTATTATGTATTTATTTGTCAGAGCACAAGCAGGAAGAGCTGCAGGCAGAGGGAGAAGCAGGTAGGGAGCCCGATGGGGGATTCAATCCCAGAACCCTGGGCCAAAGGCGGGTGCTTCATTGACTGAACCACCCAGGCGCCCCCAGACAAAGTAGATTTTAAACCAAAGACTGTAATAAGACATGATGAAGGGCATTTTACCATAATAAAGATGTCTATCCAACAAGATCTAACAATTGTACATATTTATGTCCCTAACTTGGGAACAGCCAAATATATAAACCAATTAATAACAAACATAAAGAAACTCATTGATAATAATACAGTAACAGTAGGGGACTGTAACACCCCACTCACAGCAATGGACAGATCATCTACAGAAGATCAACAAGGAAAAAAGGCTTTGAATGACACCCTGGACCAAATGGACTTCACAGATATATTCAGAGCATTTTAACCTAAAACAGCAGAATACAGATTCTTTTCAAGTGCACATGAAGATTCTCCAGAATAGATCACATACTGGGTCACAAATCAGGCCTCAAAAAGTACAAAAAGACTGGGATCATACCATGCATTATTTTCAGACCACAATGCTATGTAACCTGAATTTGGAAAGACCACAAATACATGGAGGTTAAAGAACATCCTACTAGGGGCGCCTGGGTGCTCATTCAGTTAAGTGTTTGCCTTTGGCTTAGGTCATGATCCTGGAGTCCTGGGATAGAGCCCTGCATCAGGGAGGCTCCCTGCTAAGTGGGAAGCCTGCTTCTCCATCTCCCTCTGCCCCTCTCCCTACCTTGCGTGCACGCTCTCTCTCCTCTCTCTCAAATAAAGAAATAAAATCTTAAAAAAAAAAAAAAAGAATATCCTACTAAAGAATGAACCGATAAGCCAGGAAATTAAAGGAAAAAAAAAATACATGAAGGCAACTGAAAATAAAAACATGATGGTCCAAAACCTTTGGGATGCAGCAAAAGCAGTCATAAGAGGGAAATACATAGCAGTACAGGCCTACCTCAAGAAGCAAGAAAAGTCTCAAATACACAACCTAACCTTACACCTAAAGGAGCTAGAAAAGGAACAGCAAATGAAGCCTAAGCCAGCAGAAGAAGGGTAATAATAAAGCTAGGAGCAGAAATAAATGACATAGAAAACAAAACAACTAGACCAGATCAATGAAACTAGGAGCTAGTTCTTTGAAAGAATTAAGAAAATTGATAAACCCCTAGCGAGACTTACCAAAAAGAAAACAGAAAGGACCCAAATAAATAAAATTACGAATGAAAGAGATCACAACCAACACTGCAGAAATACAATTATAAGAGAATATTAGGAGCAATTATATGCCAATAAATTAGGCAATCTGGAAGAAATGAATGCATTCCTAAAAACATATAAACTACCAAAACTGAAACAGGAAGAAATAGAAAATCTGAATAGACCCATAATCAGTAAAGAAATTGAATCAGTAATCAAAAATCTCTCGGGCGCCTGGGTGGCTCAGTTGGTTAAGCGACTGCCTTCGGCTCAGGTCATGATCCCGGAGTCCCTGGATCGAGTCCCACATCGGGCTCCCTGCTCGGCAGGGAGTCTGCTTCTCCCTCTGACCCTCCCCCCTATCATGTGCTCTCTCTCATTCTCTCTCACACAAATAAATAAATAAAATCTTTAAAAAAAACCCAAATCTCTCAACAAACAAGAGTCCAGGGATGGATGGCTTCCCAGGGGAATTCTTCCAAACATTTAAAAAAGAATACCTATTCTTCTGAAACTGTTCCAAAAAACAGAAATGAAAGGAAAACTTCCAAACTCATTCTAGGAGGCAAGCATTACCTTGATTCCAAAAATCAGACAAAGACCCCACTAAAAAGGAGAATTACAGGGGGCTCCTGGATGGCTCAGTCAGTGGAGCATTGGACTCTTGATTTCTGCTCAGGTCATGATCTCAGGGTCGTGAGACTGAGCCCCGCAGTGGGCTCCATGCTCAGCGCAGAGTCTGTTTTTCCCTCTCCCTCCCCCTCTGCCCCTCACCCTGCTCGCGCACTCTCTCTAAAATAATAAATAAAATTTTTAAAAAAGGAGAATTATAGACCAATATCCCTGATAAACATGGATGCAAAAATTCTCAACAAGGGGCTCCTGGGTGGCTCAATTAAGCAGCCAACTCTTGATTTTGATTCAGGTCATGATCTTACGGTCCTGGGATCAAGCCCTGCATTGGGCTCAGTGCTCAGCAGGGAGTCAGACTGAGGATTCTCTCTCTCCCTTAGCCCCTTCCCCTGCGCATGCTCTCCCTCTCTCAAATAAATAAATAAATAAATCTTAAAAAAACAATTCTCAGCAAGATACTAGCTAATCGGATCCAACATTACATTAAAAGGATTATTCACCACAACCAAGTGGGATTTATTCCTGGGCTGCAGGGGTGGTTCAATACCCACATATCAAGCAATGTGATAGACCACATTAGTAAAAGAAAGGATAAGAACCATATGATGCTCTCAATAGGCGCAGAAATAGCATCTGACAAAATACAGCATCCTTTCTTGATAAAAACCTTCAAGAAAGTAGGGATAGAAGGAACATACCTCAACATCATAAAGACCATATACAAAAGACCGACAGGTAATATCATCCTTAATGGGGAAAAAAACATAGCTTTTCCGCTATGGTCAGGAACAAGACAGGGATGTCCACTCTCACCAATGTTGTTCAACACAGAACTGGAAGTCCTAGCCTCAATAATCAGACAACAAAAATAAATAAAAGGCATCCAAATTGGCAAGAAGTCAAACTTTCACTATTCACAGACGACATGATACTCTATGTAGAAAACCCAAAAGACTCCCCCCAAAATTGCTAGAACTGATACAGGAATTCAGCAAAATTGGATATAAAATCAATGCACAGAAGTCTGTTGCATTTCTATACAGCAATAATGAAACAGGAGAAAGAGAAATCAAGGAATCGATCCCATTTACAACTGCACCAAAAACCATAAGCTATCTAGGAACAAACCTAACCAAAGAGGTAAAAGATCTGTACTAAGACTATAGAACACTTATGAAAGAAATTGAAGATGAAACAAAGAAATGGAAAAACGTTCCATGCTCATGGAGTGGAAGAACAAATATTGTTAAAATGTCTGTATTACCCAAGCGATCTACATATTTATGCAATCCCTATCAAAATAACACCAGCAATTTTCACAGAGCTAGAACAAACAACCCTAAAATTTGTATGGAACTAGAAAAGACCCCAGATAGCCAAAGTAATGTTGAAAAAAAGAAAACCAAAGCTGGAGACATCACAATTCTGAACTTTAAGCTGTATTACAAAGCTGTAATCAAGACAATATGGTACTGGCACAAAAACAGACACACAGATCAATGGAACAGAACAGAATGCCCAGAAATGGACCCACAACTATATGGTCAACTAATCTTCAACAAAACAGGAAAAAATATCCAATGGAAAAAAAGTCTCTTCAACAAATGGTGTTGGGAAAATTGGATAGCTACATGCAGAAGAATGAAACTGGACCACTTTTTTACACCATACAAAAAAATAAATTCAAGGAACTTCCTGAAGATCTTCTGCGTGCAGATGGCATCACCCGGAGCATGAGCTGCTTCACGAGGGTACTGAAGACAATGGCCAAGAACAAACTAAGAGGGCAGAAATCCAGGAATGTATTTCATACAGCCAGCCAAAAAAACTTTAAGTCTAAAAACAAAGCAAAACCAGTTACCACTAATCTTTTCTTTAAAAGATTTTATTTATTTGAGAAAGTGAGAATGAGAGAGAGAGAGAGAGAGAGAGAGAGAGCACATGAGAGGGAGGAGGGTCAGAGGGAGAAGCAGACTCCCCGCTGAGCAGGGAGCCCGATGCAGGACTCGATCCCGGGACTCCAGGATCATGACCTGAGCTGAAGGCAGTCGCCTAACCAACTGAGCCACCCAGGCGCCCTACCACTAATTTTAAGAAGATAAACATTGTTTATGTGCTGCCGAAGCGAGCACTGAAGATAAACATTGTGAATGATGAAAAAATTAAGAGTGAATAAAGCTTTTGTAGATATACAAAAGGAACTTGCCCATTTCTCAAAAGGCCTTTCCTTTGAACCCTTGCAGAAACAGCTGATTCCTCAGCAGTGTCATGAAAATGAACCAGTTAATGTTGATGAAGCGACAAGATTAATGGCTCAGTTGTAATACACTGGAGATACATCAAATACCCCCAAAAGACCAATAAATTAAATGTTTTATACAGTTAAATAAATAATTAAAAAAAAACCAAAATGGACGAAAGACCGAAATGTGAGAGAGGAATCCATCAAAATCCCAGAGGAGAACACAGGCAGTAATCTCTTTGACCTTGGCCACAGCAACTTCTTACTAGACATGTCTCCAGAAGCAAGGGAAAGAAAAGCAAAAATGAACTATAGGGATTTCATTAAGATAAAGTTTCTGCACAGCAAAGGAAACAGTCAACAAAACGAAAAGGCAACCAATGGAGTGGGAGAAGATATTTGCAAAGGACATATCTGATATAGAGTTAGTATCCAAAATGTATAAAGAACTTATCAAAGTCAACACCCCAAAACAAATAATCCAGTTAAGAAATGGTCAGAAGACATACGAATGGCTAACAGACACATGAAAAAAGCTCAACATCACTCATCATCAGGGAAATACAAATCAAAACCACAATGAGATACCTCCTCACACCTGTCAAGAGGAAACACAGGTTCCTAAACAGGAAATTTGCAAGCTCTACAAAGTGGGTTATTTTTCCTAAATAACATCACAATGCAGTTTTTAATGATTTTCAAATATTAACCATGACCAGATAGTTTAGTAACCATATAATATTAAATGCTTATTTTATTGCACTTATTTTTTTTATTTTCTTCTTGTCAGCTGTGATACCCCTTTTACTTTAAACCTATATAGACTTAGTCTGACTAGACCAGCAAAGAATCTTAATTCTCATTCTGGCTATACCAATAACTAGCCATGTGACTTGAGTAGGTTATTCATTTAAAATCTCTGCCCTTGTCAGATGCTCATTTCCTATCATAGGTTCATTTTGAGGCTTAAATGAGATATACAAGTGCCTTGTAAAGCACTGCATAAATGTTTTGATGGTGTTACCATAAAAGACATGATATAGGTCAACAAGGTTTTATTTGGATCTTTTATCTTAGAATAAAAATTATAAAATATATAGTCTGATAAGGTTCAATAAGGTGAGAAAGATTTTTTTTTAACTGAGGTATAACTGAGACATAACATTGTATCATTTTCAGGTATACAACATATGATTTGTTATTTGTAAATATACAATAACAAATCAGTATTAGACATAATCACCATAGTAAGTCTAGTTACCACGCATCACCATCACAATTGCAAAGTTTTTTTCTTGTGGTGAGGAAGATCTTTGAGCACTGATATTTTAGATAAAGTTATAGGGAATAAATACACTATTATTTTGTTCTTGTAAAGCAAATGGTGATTCTTAATGTAATGGGCTTAGCCTATTACACAAAGAGTAAAGCAAATATGTTTACTAAGAAATATTTGATTTTTATCATGATATACAGCAAAGCAACTCATTATCAATTTTAAAAATCTAAAGTATGATAATTTCTTATATTCAAACAATGAAGCATATTTCTGATGTAATTTTATCAGATGATGAGACACTTATAAACATACAATCAAAATATTCTTTTAACTAAAAAAGGTTTGTTAACTTTAAATTATTTCATTTTATTTAATATTTTCCTTACCCGTGATTTGAACAAGTGATCATATACTTCCAGTAGTCTAGGTAATGGCACTCCAATCTCATTCATTGTCTGTATTACAAAACCTACATCCCAGTTCAAAGTACAAACTTGCTGCTCTAAAAACTGCACAATAAAATCTGGAGAGGGAAAAAGATCAGAAATTAGAATTGTTAACTCTTCCCGCCCCCCTCCCCCCCCCACTTACTGAGATAAAATAGCCATACACTGTGTAACTTTAAGGTACAGAACATGATGATGTGATACATATATACATTGTGAAATGTTTACTCCGGTAAGGTTAGTTAACAGGTCCTTCACCTCACTTCATTACTCTATTGTTGGTACAGAATTATTAAGTCCCGGGGAGCCTGGGTGGCTCAGCTGGTTAAGCTGCTACCTTCAGCTCAGGTCATGATCTCACGGTCCTGGAATTGAGTGCTGCATGGGGCTCCCCACTCAGAGGCGAGTCTGCTTCTCCCTCTGCCCCTCCCCGCCCCGCTTGTGCACTCTCTCTCTCAAATAAATAAAATCTTTAAAAAAAGAAAACCAATTTTCAAAAAAAAAATTTTTATAAAAATAAGTGATATATCAGGATAGGCAAATATATAGAGATATAAAGTAGATTAGTGATTGCCTAGGGCTGGAAAGTGGGAAGGAATAGGGAGTGATTGCTAATAGGTACATGGTTTCTTTCTGTGGTGATGAAAATGGTCTAAATTTAATTGTGGTGACTGTTGCACAACTGTGAATGTGCGATATAATTTAAAGCTATTAGGAAAAAAACTACATTTTGGTGAGTTTGGAAAATACAGAAAGGTACATGAAATAGAGACCATTCATAATCCCACTATTGGAGAGGACCCACTGAATCCTCAGTTTAACAGCTTTTCAGAAAAGAAGGGTTACTGCATCCTGATTTTAGAAATATTAAATGTGTGGTTTTTTTTTTTAAGATTTTATTTATTTATTTGACAGAGAGAGAGATAGTGAGAGCAGGAACACAAGCAGGGGAGAGGGAGAGGGAGAAGCAGGCTTCCCGCGGAGCAGGGAGCCCGATGCGGGGCTCGATCCCAGGACCCTGGGATCATGACCTGAGCCAAAGGCAGACAGTTAACGACTGAGCCACCCAGGAGGCCCAATATTAAATGTGTTTTTAAGTGCCTCACCCCCTCAGATGTGTAAGTTATTTATTTTGATGGTTCTAATTTTAGCCCCATTCTCACTTTTTACTACCTGTCATATCGTAAGTAAGATCGTAATAGTAACAATCACATTCATATTTATGATCCTAGAAATCTACGACTGACCAATGTGCATATCCACAGGCAAGAAGAATCACTGAAAAGACAGCCAATGACTGAACCTGCAACTATCCCAGAATCTACCATACAAAACTTTTGTGCAGGTGATCAAATTTCTAAAAACTCTAAATTTGTTCTTGTTTGAAGCCCCCTGGGGCTTGTTTGCCATTGAAAGATGGACCAAAGAAGAAGAAAGGCCTCTTCTACCCTAAACTTTACTAGGCTCAAAAATTAAAAATCTAAGTCGAAGCAGAAATACCCTAAAAAAAAATTATGTATAATGTGGCCTTTTTATTATTAAAACTATTAAGCTTTAATTTTTTCTTTTTCTTATTAATGAAATAGCATGGCAGTTTTTTTTTTAAAGATTTATTTACTTGAGAGAGAGAATGAGAGAGAGAGAGAGAGAGAGAACGTGAGAGGGGGGAGGGTCAGAGGGAGAAGCAGACTCCCCTACGAGCAGGGAGCCCTGATGTGGAACTTGATCCCGGGACTCCAGGATCATGACCTGAGCCGAAGGCAGACGCTTAACCAACTGATCCACCCAGGCGCCCCAGAGTGGCAGTTTTAAATACTATACTTACAAGATTATAATGACTTTATTTCTTGCCATTTCCAGAAAATAAGTCATAAATCAGAGATGGTCCTATAAAAAAAGTCTCTATCCTCATTAAATAAACAATTTGTTATGTTGTGAGCATTTTCCTGGTTCTCAACATTTTTCAAAGATCCTGGGTGCTTAACATCCTACTTTACGGATATATTTATGTTGATTCTATTCTTTTATTTTTTATTTTTTTAAGTAGGCTATAAGCCCAGCATGGAGCCCAATGTGGGACTTAAACTCATGACCCTGAGATCAAGGCCTGAGCTGAGATCAAGAGTTGGATGCTTAACCAACTGAGCCACTCAGGCACCCTGATTCTATTGTTTTACAACTGAAGAAAACATTATACATCGGCAAATCTCTAATAATTAGAGTCATATACATAACAATTATAGTAATACAGCTGATTAAAGGGTTCAAAAAATTGCATTTTTAACACAATTATTTGCTTTTTTAAAAGATTTATTTGAGAGAGAGAGAGAGTGTGAGCAGGGGGAGGGTCATCACAGGGAGAGGGAGAATTCTAGAGCTGAGTACTTGGTCAGCGGGTAGCCCAATGCAAATCGGGGCTTGATCCCAGGACCCTTAGATCATGACGCCAAAATCAAGAGTCAGCCACACAACCAACTGAGCCACCTAGGTGCCCCAAATATTTGTTATTTTAAAGAAAAATATGTCCTCAATATAATTAGAGCAGAGGGGCGCCTGGGTGGCTCAGTTGTTAAGCGTCTGCCTTTGGCTAAGGTCATGATCCTGGGGTTCCAGGATTGAGCCCCGCATCGGGCTCCCTGCTCCGCAGAAAGCCTGCTTCTCCCTCTCCCACTCCCCCTGCTTGTGTTCCCTCTCTCGTTGTGTCTCTCTCTATCAAATAAATAAACTCTTAAAAAAAAAAAAAAATATATATATATATATATATATATATATATAATAAGAGCAGTTGAAGCAATCACAGATTGCCCATGCAGAAAAACACTAGCCATTTTTCTTTCCTCTTTAAACTTGTAGAGGGTTACCAACAATATAATCATTACCGTCTGTTAGCACTATTCCCCAGACAGATATATAAACTTACAAGGTCAAAGAAGGTTTCATACCTAACTATTTGTCAACAAATTCTGTTATCTTTGGAGGTCTTTCTGGAGAGGTAGAATTAAACAGCTGAGCTAAACAGCAACAAAGGAACAATTCCACCCTGAAGAACATTATCTTTCCATGTGAATGAAGAAAACCATCAAAAGAAAAAACACAACACCCATGATAGCACTTAAGGTTACTGCTTACCTAAAGGAAAGAAGCGAGGTGTGCCAGCATAAATTTTGCCAAGGAGCACAACCTTGAGACTAAGAGCATGCATTCTATCTGAGGAGCTCAACGCTACACTTTCATTCAATTCTGCAAGAAAAAGACATGCCATTAGAAACCCAAACTGTTTTTAATGTGCAATTGTTTAAATAGGCTATTTTATTCTATTTCAAGGTACAAAATAGCCTACAAATGATATTCTAACATAATGAGCAGATACTGTGTTTCTGTTAGTGTCTGAAATACTTTCCTCTTACCAGACACTGGTTATAGGATTCTGAGGAAAGTGTCTCAGAATCCCTTATTAAGAAGTACAACCAAAAATGACACATCCTTTTCTCAGTCCTCTCCAATATAAATTGAGGACATTCTCTAGAGGGCCACCCTCCACCACATCCAGGTACCCTCTACTTAGCCTCTACTTAGGTATATACAATTTTCATGAGCTCTAGATGTATGAAAGCCACTAGCAGTTTGCATTCCTCTACCAAGTCACTAAATAACGTATGCTAATATACCTGTAAGTGAGCACTTACCCTTCTCTATGATATCTTGCCAAAGTGTCTGCACCAATATAGGGTCTGAATAACCAGCACAATGAATTATTGCAAGTTTACACTCTGCAAGTTTAAATGGGTCAGCAAATTCCCCATAAAGCTGTCGGAGAAAATGCCAACATTATACATACAACCAGAGATCAAGAGTCAGAAATTAATAGTGATGCACTCCTTGAAAATTAAAAATGATCAAAGATTTTATCCAAAGTTCTTAAAATACGATGTAAAGATGTGATGACATGCAGCTGGTCATAACTCCAGATTAAGAATGGTGAAGGCTTGGTAAACGCATTTAAATAGATTCCAACATGTGTGCCTCCACAGCCCCCCCCCGCCCCTCGGCTGGCAGGAAGATACTGCAATAACATGTCTTTTAAAATTAGCATTGTCTAACTCAGGGTTTAAAGAATCCTAGAAACATGGAAACACAAGTCTCAGGGTGCTTCATGGTACTTGGAGAAATGTCCAAGAGTTATTGAAAAAGGAACTGCTCTGAAGTACAGAGTGGGAGCGGCTTGGAGAGATAAGCAAAGATAAGTTACTTTTCCAAGACAATAAGCAAGGCCATAAAATAGATGGCAGGAGGTTTAAGGAAGCTTGATGTGAGGCTGAGAGATTCTTGAGAGAAAACAGCCCATAAAGAGCAGGTTAGCTCTTCCTAAGAGTCAGATACCACAGCAGTGATCTGTCAGCCCAGCAACATGCTCCCCAGGATGGCTTATCTTAATTTTGTGGAGATAGATTATCTCCACATTTTTTGCATTCTACTACAGAATGCAAAAAAAAAAACAACCAAGGAATTTGTAGATATTAGGTGACTGCTACAGGAATTCACCTTGCTTTTTTATTACCTTAGTTATGTCCATTAGCTCAGAATCCAGCTGAGAAATTGCATCCTGTACAGAAGAATGATGGGAATACTGCCTTTGTAGTGTCTCTTGTATCTGAAGTTGGATCCTAGCAACCTAGTTTGGATTAAAAAAAAAAGCAAGTCTCAAGTTCTTGATGATAAATCAACAAGTACTTGAAGGAATGATTCCTAGTATCTGACTTTAAGTTGGTTAAAGTAAAAACAATGTATAAATAACAGCAATAGTGACTAGAGTTAATAATACTGTATTTCATATTTGAAAGTTGTTGAAGAAAATAGACTGTAAAAGTTCTTATCACAAGATTTTTGTAATTACGTATATGGTGATAAATGTTAATTAGACTTATTATGGTGATCATTTTGCAATATCTAAAAATACTGAATCATTACATTGTATACCTGAACTAATATAATGGTATGTGTCAATTATACTTCAATTAAAAAAAAATGAACGAATGAAGATTTCTATCATAACAAACTGGCAAAACAAAACAAAACAAAAATAACAAACTGGCAGCTCTTCATCACAACATAAAAGATCTCACAGGAAGTTTACTATGGCAGAGCGCCCTTGCTACCACGCTAAACACCCATCTCTCCCACTACTGCAGCCAAACAATGGCTAGACCCTATTTTCCAACCTCCTCTGTAGGGAGATAGGGCCATTAAGACTAAGTTCTCTTCAAAGGAATGTAAGTGGAAGTCAAGTATGTCATTTCAGGGCTGAAGGTCTTTAAGAGAGTGAATGTGCTTATTACATGTGATTTTTTTCTCTTACTCCCTCTGACAGAAGAAAAAGGTAAGGCCATAGGGAATGGTAGAGCCAGAAAATAGAACTTGGGTATTAAAATCAATCAAGTGGAAGAAAGCCACTGGCTAATCAGGGACACCCACTCTGGATATTTGTGATTGAGAAATAAGCCTTTGTATTTGGACCATTATATACTTTTGGGTCTCTTAATTAGGGCAGGTTAGCCTACTCTACTTCACATACCTACTGATTAGCTTCCAGAATAAATGGTAAATGTGATATAATCTCCTTTGTGTTGGAATAGTTGGAAAAAAACTTTTGAAATGCCACAGAGAAAAAATTTAATTACAGCAATGTCCTGTGACCCAATGAAAGATTTATGTCTAAATATGAAAATAAATACATATAGGCAGAAGAGAGTAGAATTACTAATACTGACTGCTACTGACTTATGACTTACTAGAGGGAAGAAGGGAAAATGGAATAAATGCAGGCAAAGTTTAAGTATCTTTAGTGCTTACTTCCATTTTTTCTTCTAATTCATGAAGGAATTCACCATCCGCAGCTATCGATGAAATGGCAGTGGAACTTTTGGCACTAAGAATGGCTCGAGCAATGTACTCTAGTCGCTGCTGAAGTGAAATTTCTGTGCTGGGGGTGGGGGAGAACCTTATTTTTATTTATATGAATTCTTAAGGATCCAATATACAAATATATTAATTATGATGCACTATTTTGTATATACCAAATTAACATAAAAGGCCATTAGAAACTTGAAAAAACTATTAGAGGGGGGTGCCTGGGTGGCTCAGTCGTTAAGCATCTGCCTTCAGCTCAGGTCATGAGCCCAGGTCCTGGGATCGAGTCCCGCATCGGGCTCCCTGCTCCGCAGGAAGCCTGCTTCTCCCTTTCCCACTCCCCCTGCTTGTGGCTTGTGTTCCTGCTCTTTGATTAAAAAAAAGAGAAAAAGAAAAAACTATATTAGAGGACTTCTAATAAAAGAGATCTACAGTTTAAGGCAACAAATAAAAAAATACTTAAGTTTACATCCAAAAAAGTAACTTACTATTTTAAAACTTTAATTCAGTATATTAAAACTTGGATTCTTCTAAACACTAAGGAAAATGTTTTGTTTTGTTTTTTTTAAGATTTTATTTATTTATTTGACAGAGAAAAACACAGTGAGAGAGGGAACACAGCAGGGTGAGTGGGGGAGAGGGAGAAGCAGGCTTCCCACGGAGCAGGGAGCCCGATGCGGGGCTCGATCTCAGAACCCTGGGATCGTGACCTAAGCCGAAGGCAGACGCTTAACAACTGACCCACCCAGGTGCTCCTCAATAAGATTCTTAACAGTCTTCAACATACACACTCAAAAATTTTTTGGTAATTTAAACCAATAATAGAGGAGAGGAAATTAGTCTAGAATTAGTAAAACATTTAAAATTATAAAGCCTTTGAGAAGTTTTTGTCCTTTTAATTAAGAATACTAATTAACTGCTTAGTAGGAAAGACTCTAAAAACATAAAGAAGAGATTTAGAAGACAGTTTGACTAGAGAGGGTCTTGGGTATTTAGTATCTCCCATACACTATTAAAAAAAAGAAAAAAAAACTGTAAACTTTAGGTAAATCCAAGTAAAAGCATAAAAACTCTACATACTATAACCTGAATAAGGTTTTATTTAATTTCTGAAATCTGGATGTATCTAGTTATAGGTCAGTTATCAATCATTATTCACAGTAGTAAGGGTATTATACCATACCTATGCATGTCAGCCAATTTGGACAGGACACGAGCAGCATTACTAAAGCTTCTGTTCTTTTCATAATACCTCCAGAGTAAATCCATGTAACGAACTTTGTTTTGATCAACTTTGGCCATTCGGACTAGATGTGGCTCCAGAAATGGAGAAGCAATCTGCAAATTATACAGTCACTCAGAAACATTTTCTGGACTAGGCATTTGCCCTTTATGTAGTAACTATTAACATTTTTAAGTCAACTACAGGTATGTCTTACTTCATGAATACACAAGCAAAATTATAATCCAACAACAGAGGGCAATTTTTTTTCATTATAAATGATTTTTCCCAGAGTTAACCAAAGAGTTGCTATGAAAAGTTGAATTAGGCTGATTAAACTAATCATAATCCAGTTACAAATTTTTTTTTTTAATTTTTATTTTTTTGAGACAGAGTGAGCATGGGGGGCGGGGAGAGAACCCCAAGCAGGCTTCATCTCACAACCCAAGGATCATAACCTGAGACGAAATCAAGAGTTGAACGCTTAACTGACCAAGCCACCCAGGCATCCCCAATTACAAATATTTCAATAAACTTTGAAAACACAGCTACTGATTCCTAGACTCGGAACTCAAAGACATCCTTGCCATTATCAAATGCCACACATTTATTTTACAGACTAAAGAATACTGAGACTTAGGATAGTAAAAAGACACGTATGAAGTCACATACTGAATTAATGGCAGAGGTAATGCCAAGTTTAGAACTCCTAATTCATAATCCAGTGATTTCCATCCCACAATATAAACAACCCAAATCAGCTTCACAATAACAAGAAAATTAGAGCAATAGTTTACTTCGCCCACCAGGAAAAGATATTACATTACTTGGCTTGACGCTAACACCTAATGGTAGGTTCAGGATAAGAAAATGAATTTCCTGGATCTATGTATTTTTTATTTTTATTTATTTTTAAAGATTTTATTTATTTGACAGAGAGAGAGAGAGAGCAAGAGACTGAGTGAGCACAAGCAGGGGGAGTGGCAGACAAGGGGAGAGGGAGAAGCAGGCTCCCTGCTGAGCAGGGAGCCCAATGCAGGGCTTGATCTCAGGACCCTGAGATCATGACCTGAGCCAAAAGCACATGCTTAACCGACTGAGCCACCCAGGTGCCCCTCCTTCAACTATGTATGTGCTACTTGAAAATACAAATTAACAATACCAGAATAAAAAAAAACTTTTTTTTACCTGTAATAACTTATCTGCAAGATCAGCTTGTATTAGCCAATTATAAAGGGCAATACTAAAGAGCTCATCTTTGGATCGTTGAGACAGTTTAAGCATTTGTTCAAACTAAAATAAAAAAATAGTAAGAATTAGCAGTTAAAGGCCCTCTTGCTGGACATCATAACCATCAGCCTTATAAAATCCTGAAATCAAGAATCTTTAAATGTTTATTTCTAAGATCTACTACCTTTCCCAAGAGGAGCTGCTACCACTACCACAAAGAACTTCTAAACAATGTATTTTCAGGATAAAAATATGCTATGTCCCTTACGTGATGTCCTGCTTCTTCATTACTCAGCATATTGGGATCAGATGACAATACTGGAGGCCCAGGTTTTTTGGGTACACTGGGAGACTGAGGAGCAGCCTTACTTTGATTTACCAATTCTTGAAGTGTATCTGTAATACACTTGTAACTGTTTAATCTGAAAAAGAATGGAAAAGAAGCAACTGCATTATTTAATTAGACAGCAACTGACTAATTTAAATATACAGAATAATTTGAAGACTATTTTGGGGAAGAGATATATGTACACACACACATATATTTGGTATTAAAATGTAAATTGTATACTTTTTCTAGGTTTGAGAAACATGTGGTTAACCATAAAAGGGTGAAGTCATAAAAATTAACGTATTAATAAAAAACATGTTTTAGATAGGTTATATATTTCCTTTATGGACACACATTTTTTTTTCTTTAACAGTCAATACTAATTTGTGAACATTTAAAAATTGTAGCATAAAATAAAATAAAATACTAATCTTCATCCAGAACTAGAAATTAGGTGGGCGGGGGGAAATGGTTCTAAGTAAGTTATCTCATTTAAAATTGACATTAGTAAAGTGTCATAAAAGCCACAGAGGCAAGTTCAAAAACATTTATAAGTCCTTAAGAATTTCCACCAGATTATGGGGCACCTGGGTGGCTCAGATGGCTGAGTGTCTGCCTTCAGCTCAGGTCATGATCTCCAGGTCCTGGGATCGAGCCCCACATCAGGCTCCCAGCTCAGCGGGAAATCTGCTTCTCCCTCTCCCTCTGCCTCTCCCCCTGCTTGTGCTCTGTCTCTCTCTCTCAAATGAATAAATAAAATCTTTTAAAAAAAAATTTCCACCAGACTAAAACTTGAACCCTAAACTAAGAATTATAATCCTAATTTAGGCCCGTGATAAAAAGACATTTTTAAGTGAAAGCATAATTCAATTTTATAAGTGTTGTACTTAAGATATTATTTCCTAATACAATCAATGAAACTGTACACCAAGAAAAGCTGACAAGAAGCTAAGGTGATAAAACTTGCCTTTCTTGGAAAGCCTGCAGTCCCACGATGTCTTCTTCTGGTTCTCCATGTTTATAGAAATGAAGTCCAAGACCCTGAGGATCTTTTTTTTCTGCAGCAGTAAGAGAGAGCTCCACTACACCCTCATAAAAACGGACTAATGGGAAAGGAAAAGGAAAAAGAGATAAGGCTTATTAAGATGGATGCGTTATTCCTTAGCTGGTTTATAAAAATACTGATCAAGGTTTTTACATCTCTACTGTATGCTAGTCACCTTGATAACACTATCATATAAAATATGTTTGGGGAATCTACCAAAGAATAAGGTACCAACATGCCTAAAAGGCAGCTATTAAGTATATTTTCTTCAATGGAAAAAAATTTTCAAAGTTAGAATAATAAAAGGGATGGATTCAGTTCCTTGATGGAAAAAAAAATCTTAGAATTCAAAACAGTATCTGTGCTAACAGTTATTACTTTTACATTATGCTAGATTTGATTTAAAGTAATTTAAAAGCAGCAGACAGGTACTATTTTAAAAATTAGTCAAAAGAATTAAAAGCATCCAAAAAATAAATGTAACCCAGAATCTATCTAATACAGATAGTAGTTTAACTGGACAAGGACTAAAACTCCTGTTAAAAAGTTACACGTTTCAAGATATAAAAAGAGCATTATAGTTTTTGCAGAGGCTAGTGTAGTCATCAAATACTAAAACACAAGGCACGAGTTTCCCATGTCATATCACTTGGGAAAGTGAAGTTGAAGAGGGGTTTGCTTCTGGTAAGAGGCTCTTTATCAGTAGCTTGTTTTATTCAGTCGTTTTTCTCCTGAGTTAAGAAAAAGATATGAAAAACATTTTGTTTCTCACCTTGTCTATACTGAGCACAAACACTGGAAAGGTCCACTTGATTGCTGATTTTCTGATATTCCTTTAAGGATTCTCTTAACATTCTTTCCTTTTCAATCTTATTTTGAACTTGTCGGGAACGCTGGAGGAGTTCATTTGCCTAGAATCAGAGATGACAGGAACTTAAAAAGATGTAAAATCCAGCACATAGATGATGTTATCAATATAAGTCTTGGTCTATGTCTCAATTTACATCTGGTTTATTATCATAAAAAATAAAAACAACTCTACAAACTTACTTCTTCTTAATTTTAGGCAGAAAAATTTTTGACCAAAAAAATCCTAGCTATTTTTAATTCCTTTCACAAATATTTTAAGCAAGATAGCTTTGACTGGTAAACCTCTTGCCTAGTCAATACATTATTGGTCAGCAGGCAGTCCATGTGATACTGATTTTTTTAATTATTTTCAACCTGTAAGAAAGGATCAATAAAAACTGCCCAATTAACTCTAACTTATTATAGACTTAAAGTTTTAGTAATTTTTAATTTCTAAGGAGAAACAGATTTAACCATTGAAAAAACACGGTCTAAAAATACTATCAAGATTATGAAAAACTTAAACACACAAGGATTTTAAGAAATGATGTATTCCAACTCCTCTCATCATACAGATGAGGACTCTCGAGGCCATGAGAGGTTAGGAGACCTACTCAAGAGACGTCATGTTAAGTAAAAGATGGTTTCTGATTCCAGTTCTATTGTGCTTTTTATACCATGAAACCCCCTTTACGAATACTGAAATAGCTGATAAAGCATCATACCTTAGAACAAATTGCATCATCAGTGCTATACAGAAGTGGGCAGATATCCTGTAAGTGTAAACTAATGCCATCAACAGCAGCATTATCTCTGATGTAGCAGTTGATAAGAGAAGCAATTAATGCCCCGGTCAGTTCCTTGTCCCTGATTACCAGATCTTTAAAGGTGGTGATTTTCAGCTGCTCTTGAAATTCCTAGGAATATAAGAAAAAGTCCTTTTTTCTACCAAAAATATAGGAATATCCTATTTCTACCCGGAACAAAATTTCTTTAACAATTTAAAATAACCAAAAAATTCAAAAGGGAAAATATGCTAAACTATACAGACTAGCACATTTTTGCAAACTTTCATAGAATCATAGAAAATTGTTAAAGAACCCACGGTATGACCAGTCTAAATCTCTCAATTTACAAATGAGAAAAGTAAAATGTAGGCAGATCCAAAATTAGAGCCAGGTCTCCTGATTTTAGTCACAACCAGAAAGAATAATCACTTAGCTACATTAAAAAATCTGGGGCTTACAGGGCGCCTGGGTGGCTCAGTTGGTTAAGCATCTGACTCTTGATTTCAGCTCAGGTCCTACAAATGGACCTTGAGAGCTCGTTTGGAGGTTCTAGCAGAGACATACAGCTACTCGTATACTCTTCACCAAAGAATGGTCCGCCTCTATCAGGGAAGGTCATCCTCTTTGAGCACAAAGCTTTGGAAGGGATGCACATGGAGTGGTGAGGGAGAAAGGGGACAACTGCCTAGCCAGTCAGATCAGCCGAGTCAACCCTGGTAATCAATGGGCGTGACAGATTCACATTCACACCTTTCCTTAGAAATACATAGTAAACTATATAGGAGTGAAATGACACGGTATCTGGGATCATCTTTAAAGTAATTTGGTAAAGAAAAAGAGAATAGATTAATAAAAGATGATAAAATCTTGAAAATGCTGAATACAAGGGGCACCTGGGTGGCTCAGTCGTTAAGCATCTGCCTTCGGCTCAGGTCATGATCCCAGGGTTCTGGGATTGAGCCCCACATCGGGCTCCCTGCTCAGCGGGGAGCCTGCTTCTCCCTCTCCCACTCCCCCCTGCTTGTGTTCCCTCTCTCACTGTGTCTCTGTCAAATAAATAAATAAAATCTTAAAAATAAAAAAAAGAAAATGCTGAATACAAGCGTATATGGGGATTATAATATAGTATTTACTCTATTTTTGTATACATTTAGAAATGTTCATAATAATAGGTAGGAATACATTCCCCTCAGTGTCCTAACATTTAAATGAATGCAAATTGCCATTATACTTAAAAAGGATTCAAATGAGGAGAGCAAGAGAAATATGACCCATTCATTTCTCACAATGGTAAACATCTTTCTTTAAAAGAAGAATGTTTAAGTCACTGGACTCTTTGAAATTACATGCAAAAATTTTGTGGATGTATCTGTATGCATTCTTTGAGGGTGGGAAGAAAGAGTTTTGATCAAATTCCCAAAGGGATCTGAAACCCAAATAATGGTTACAATCTACTGTTTAAAAAAAATATTTTTGGTAAAGATTTCATTCATATACCACGAGAACACGGTAAAATTCTCACATATTGTAAAAACTTGTGGGTTTTTTTTTTTTTAAAGATTTATTTATTTATTTGAGAGAGAGAATGAGAGAGAGAGAGCAGGAGAGGGGGGAGGGTCAGAGGGAGAAGCAGACTCCCTGCCAAGCAGGGAGCCCGATGCGGGACTCGATCCTTGGACTCCAGGATCATGACCTGAGCCGAAGGCAGTCGCTTAACCAACTGAGCCACCCACGTGCCCAAAACTTGTGGTTTTGACAAAGCAGATCCCTCAAGCATTCATGCTTTAGTGCAATTTTCCATTAAGAAGATTTCCATTAAGCAGATATTAACTTACTCATAACCTAAATGCTTCTCCCCAAAAGTCCCCTCCCAAACCCAAATATAAGATTAAAGCTTACTCAAAAGAAAACAAACTAAGCACAGCATTAACAGTATGATCTTAAGGGAAAAGAAATCCTACCTTCTGAAGTTCTCCTACAATGACAGTGAACTGATGTTCACAAAGAAGCTTCCATAAAGCCAGAGCCTGGTATGATTTTCGAACCAACTGCTGGATTGCCTGAAGTGAAACCTTTTCACTCAGTTGAGCCTCTAATTACAAAACACAACTAATGAAGTTTTATACAATGACATAGGTTGTTTTGTTTTAAATAAAACAACACTTTACTTTCAATAAGAACAACTATAGTTAAGGCTGAAATCCTTAATGGCCTCCTCTTTCCCCTCATCACAGCCAACCATGATCATGATTTGTTGAATTCATGCTTTTTATCCTGTCATTATGTGTATGTGCTTCTAAGCGTCTGTGTGTGTACACACAAACAACAAAAACACTGCTATTTTTAAACAATTTACACCACTTTTTCTACCCAGCTGTTATTTTCACAGGCTATCTATATTAATAAGTATAAATCTAATGTATTTAAATTACTGGATGTTCCATCACATAAGTATACCACAATTAGGTCCATTTTCCACCTTAAGGACATTTATATTGTCTCCTATGCTTTGCTACTAAAACAACAATGCAATAAACATCCTTAAGAAAGGACTCCTGAAAAGCACTTTTTGCTAGGACTATGTTCCTCAAACCCTGGATTAAGATAAACTGGTGAAAAAAAATCAAAACAAAACAGGTGAGTAATGAAATCAATTCAGTCAGTCATGACAGCTTTTTTTTTTTTTCTTAAAAAGGAAACAGAATTGGGGTGCCTGGCTGGCTCAGTCAGTAAACCATGCAACTCTTGATCACAGGGTTTTAAGTTCAAGCCCCACACTGGGCATGGAGCCTACTTAAAAAAAAAAAAAAAAAAGGAAATATTAGAGTATAAAACAGGTAGTTATTTCCTACAATTTTGTTTTGGTTGTGTATGTATGCTTTCAAACATCAGAGTCATAACGTAAAATGTATTCCTTACTATAAGGAAAAAAGTCCGATAAAGAGTGCTATACGATGGGAGGTGCCTGGGTGGCTCAGTTGTTGAGCGTCTGCTTTCAGCTCAGGTCATGATCTCAGGGTCCTGGGATTGAGCCCCGCATCGGGCTCCCTGCTCAGTGGGGAGTCTGCTTCTCCCTCTCCCACTCCCCCACTGCTTGTGTTCCCTTTCTCGCTATGTCTGTCAAATAAATAAAATCTTTACCAAAAAAAAAAAAAAAAGACTGCTATACGATGTATCCATAGAAGTGAAGCTGCTGGCTTTCAATATATATGCATTCTCAGCTTTTACAGGATAGTATCAAACTCTCTCCAAAGTAGTTGTTTTCAGTGTACATGTGCCAGCAATTTGAACCCTCCCTTTTGTTTTAATCCTTACCAGTGCTTGGTATTGTCAGGCTTAAGACCTACTGAAGTACCAATAGCAGTAATGAAAAAATGTTTATAAAACAGAAATGTTTATAAAACAGAAAACTAGATCTAGCAGGAAGGGACAAGAGTAAATGGCTGAGTCTTAATTAGCAAAGATCTATCAGCCAGAAATGGCTCAAACAGAACACAAAAATTCTTTTTTCTTAAACAATTGTTTTTTAAAGGATTTTATTTATTTATTTGAGACTGAGAGATACAGAGAGAGAGAGCATGAGCAGGGGGAGAGGCAGAGGGAGAGGGAGAAGCAGAGTCCCCACTGAGCCAGAAGCCCGATGTGGGGCTCCATCCCAGGATGCTGGGATCATGACCTGAGCCGAAGGCCGATTCTTTTTTTGGGAGGGGGGTTCTTAACCATCTGAGCCACCCAGGCGCCCCTAGAACACAAAAATTCTTTAAAAAAATGGCAGGCAAAATTTAAGCAATGATTTATTATTCCAGATTACTTTGGAAAAATAGATGATTATAAGTTTTCCATTACCTTGCTCTTTCCACGACTGTTACTATTTATAATAGACAAACAAAAACAAAAACAACCAAAAATGTGATTCACATTTTTAACTCTATAAAAAGGTGTGTCACTAATCATTAGGAAGGAAAATACATCAAAAACCACAGTGATATGGTGATTAACATAACAATAAAAAATTAAAAAAAAAAACCATAGTGAATTACCGCTTTGTATCTACTAGGATGGATATTATAAAAAGAGAAAAATAACGAGTGAAGATGTGAAGAAATTGAAATACTTTATGCACTACTAGCAGATATGTAAAATGGTGCATAGAGAACGGTATGGCAGTCCCTCAAAAATTAAAAACAGAATACCATATGATCCAGCAATTCCATTTCAGGTATATAATAAAGGAACTGAAAGCAAGGACTCAAATTTATATTTGTACAATACATTCATAGCAGAATTATTTCTAATACCTCAAAGGTGGAAGCAACCCAAGTGTTCAAAAACCCAAGTGTTTTTTTTTTTTGCTTTCACGAAAATACACCCTAAAACCAGCATTCAGCGTTTGTGTTGTAGCGAGCCATTACACAGGCAGCATGCACCCTGCCAAACTCCTTTCCCAGAAACGATACACATCATCTCGGCATCAAGCCGCCACAACTTTGAAATGGGTCTATGGGCTTCTGTGCTTTATCTCTAAATGTGTCCCAAGGTGGGGCGCCTGGCTGGCTCAGTTGGAAGAGCATGTGACTCTTGATCTCAGGGTTGTGAGTTCAAGCCCCACAATGGGCATAGTGATTACTAAAAAAAAAGTAAATAAACTTAAAAAAAAAAAAAAGTGTCCTAAGGAACAGAAAAGCCTAAGAAAGGTTATTTTTTGGGGTCTGGGAATGCTCAAAAATTTATCCATATAAATTAATGGTAATTACTTTCTCACTTTATGCCATTTGGCTTATGAAAGGTTTCACAGGAACACTCAGATAGCAGGGGAAACCTGTGTAGACATACAATGGAATAATACTGTCTTAAAAAGAAAGGAAATTTGGACATATGCTACAACACGGATCAACTCTGAAGACATACTAGCTGAAATAAGCCAGTTGCAAAGCTGGTCACTGTATAATTCCACTTATATGAAGTATATAAGGTAGTCAAATTCAGAGACAAAAAAAACAAACAGAAAACTACTGACAGTTGTTAGGGGCTGGGATGGTAGGGAAAATGGGGAGCTTTGTTTCATGGGTACAGAGTTTCATAAGATGAAAAAAGTTCTGGAGATGGATAGTGGTGATGTTTGCACAACAAAGTGAATGTGGTTAAAATGGTAAATTTTATATTATGCCTATTTTACAATTTAAAAACTTACTTTAAAAAAAGGTATCATGTTTTCTTGTAAAGGAAAGGAAAAAACTTAATGGGCTGAAAGTTATGGGGCACCTGGGTGGCTCAGTTGTTAAACGTCTACCTTCGGCTCAGGTCATGATCCCAGGGTCCTGGGATCGAGCCCCGCATCGGGCTCCCTGCTCAGTGGGAAGCCTGCTTCTCCCTCTCCTACTCCTCCTGCTTGTGTTCCCTCTCTCGCTGTCTCTCTCTGTCAAATAAATAAATAAAATCTTAAAAAAAAAAAAGGGGCTGAAAGTTATGGAAATACATGAGATCCATACAGTCCCACTTTTCTCAACCACACTGATGTTATTTTAATAAAAAATACTTGTGTTATCAAAAAACTAGATCTTACTGAGAGATGTCCACTGTTTTCTATTCAATCCACTGTTTTCTACTCGATGAATAAAACTCTTTATTGGGGTCATGTACAGTCAACTGATCAGAAGGAATAACTTACCATGAAACTTCCTCTGCAGTTCTTGTTGCATCTGCTGGGTATTTCCATTTTCAGGACGCATGAATCCTATCAGCCTCTGCTGCACTTTGGCTGTTGTACTGAAATAAATTCCAAAATGTGTATTTGTGTTTTCAACAGCTTTACTGAGATAGAATTCATATACCATACAATTCAACCATTCAGAGTACATAATTTGGTTTCTCAAAATATATTCATAGGGTTGTGCAACTATCACCACAATCTAATTTTAGAACATTTTCACCCACTCTCTATTAGCAGTCAATCCCCAACTCTCCCACCCCTACCCTAAGTAACTGCTGGTCTACTTTCTGTCTCTTTAAGTTTGCCTATTCTGAATATCTCATATAAATGAGCTGGGATACATTGTTAATATTCTTTTCCTCTGCAGAATAGTGAAATAAACACTGGCGAATCAATGATGATTTAAAACTGAAGCATTTTAATCTTGTGGATGCTTAAAGTTTCAATTATTTGGTTATTGTGATGTCCATTTTATTCAGAAAGGCTGAATAAATGGTTGCTTCTTTCTCTTTATCTGCCAAATTTAAAAGTAATGAATTGGTTTCTAGAATCCTTCAATGATGAGCAGTATTTTGGTGTCAGGTTACATAACATCCACCTTTTCCGTGTGCAGTTTTATGAGTTTTTTTTTTTTTAAAGATTTTATTTATTTATTTGACAGAGACAGAGACAGCGAGAGCAGGAACACAAGCAGGGGGAGTGGGAGAGGGAGAAGCAGGCCTCCCGCCGAGCAGGGAGCCCGATGTGGGACTCGATCCCAGGACCCTGGGATCATGACCTGAGCCGAAGGCAGTCGCTTCACCAACTGAGCCACCCAGGCGCCCCCAGTTTTATGAGTTTTGACAGATGCATGGTGTCATGTAACTACCACCACAATCAAGATACAGAACAGTTCCATTACGCCCCAAAATTCTCTTGTGCTGTCTCTTCTATCCAAATCCTCTTCCCACCCGCTAAGCCTGTCCACCACTGATCTCCTTTACCTCTATAGTTTTGTTTTGTTTTTTAAGATTTTATTTTTTGACAGAGAAAGAGACAGTGAGAGAGGGAACAGAAGCAGGGGGAGTGGGAGAGGGAGAAGTAGGCTTCCCACTGAGCAGGGAGCCTGATGCGGGGCTTAATCCCAGGACCCTGGGATCATGACCTGAGCGGAAGGCAGATGCTTAATGACTGGGCCACCCAGGCGCCCCTTTTGTTTAAGATTTTATTTATTTACTTGAGAGAGAGAGAGTGAGAGAGCACAAGGAGGGGGAGTGGTAGATGGAGAGGAAGAAGCAGGCTCCCCACTGAGCAGAGAGCCTGATGGAGAGCTCGATCCCAGGACCCCAAGAACACGACCCGAGCCCAAGGCAGACACTTAACCGACTGAGCCACCCAGGCACTCCTACCCCTATAGTTTTGCATTTTCCAATATGTCATACAAATCGATTCTGGCTTCCTTTCTATAGCATAATACATTTGAGAGTCATCCACGTTGTTGCATATATCAGCCCTCTGGAGAATGTCAGTCTTGTTTGTTTTAGCATGTAATCTATCTAGTGAAATCTGGTATTCACATTATAAATGCTAATTGTCACGAAAAAGGGAAAATAAAAAGAGCTCTCAGAATTAAAAATATAATGGCCAGAAAAAAATGTATCAGAGAAACTGAACAGATGCTATTTTTTTTTTTTTTTTTTAAGATTTTATTTGACAGAGAGAGACACAGCGAGAGAGGGAACACAAGCAGGGGGAGTGGGAGAAAGAGAAGCAGGCTTCCTGCTGAGCAGGGAGCCTGATGTGGGGCTTGATCCCAGTACCCTGGGATCATGACCTGAGCGGAAGGCAGATGTTTAACGACTGAGCCACCCAGGTGCCCCAGATGCTATTTTTTTTTTAATATTTTTATTTATTTGAGAGGGAGAGAGAGCACGCGAGCAAGCAAGAGCACCAAAGCAGGGAAAAGTAGAAGCAGACTTCCTGCTGAGCAGGGGACCCAATGCAGGCCTTGATCCCAGTATGCTGGGATCATGACCTGAGCCAAAGGCAGCCGCTCAACCAGACTGAGCCACCCAGGTGCCCCTGAACGGATGCTGTTTAAAATATAATTGGGACACCTGGGTGGCACAGTTGGTTAAGTGCCAGACTCTTGGTTTCAGCTCAGGCCATGATTTCAGGGTTGGGAGATTGAGCCCAGCATCAGTCTGGGCTAAGCATCCACAAGATTAAAATGCTTCAGATTTCGCTCACTGCGAAATCTGCTTAAGACTCTCCCTCTCCTTCTGCCTCCCCCAAAGTAAATAAATAAATCTTAAAAAAAAAAAAAAATTATATATATACACACACACAATAATTGGGAACAACAACTCTAGGAATTCTGTAATCTACCGAACCACCACAACAAAAGAAGGAAGAAAGAAAACTGTGGAAGAAAAGAGAAGAAACTGAGGCTAGATCCAGGAGAGTTAATAGGATTTTCCCAAGAAAAGGGAAATGATCAGATAGTACAATAAATAAAAAATAACAGAAGAAAATTCACCAAGGCTTAAGTCTAGTTCTAAATGCTCATTGAGAAAGTTTAGTTCTCAACACTCATTGAAAAAAGACATATTGAAGACATGGTGAAATTGCTAAATTTTCATAATAAAGACAAAAAGCATAAAAAAACTTCAAAGTTAACACAAGCCATTTACAGAGAAAAGAGAATCAGAAAGGCAATGTACTTTTCCTCTGCAATATTAAAGTTTAGGAAGAAAATGGAACAAAACTATAAATGAAAATCTGAGAGAAAATGGCTACGACCTTACAATCCCATACTCGTTAGGCAATAAAAAGGGGTGAAGTAGTTATTTATGCTGCAACGTGGACCTTGATCATGAACCTCAAAATAACGCTAAGCAAAAAAAAGCTAGATTCTAAAGACCATAAATTATATGATTCCATTAGCATGAAATGTCAAGAATAGGCAAATCTATAGATAGGATAGATTAATAAGTGTTTGAGGCTAAGGGGTGGAAATGACTGCAAATGGACAAAAGAACTGTCTTTGGGTTGAAGAAAATGTTCCCAAAATAGACTGTGATAATGGTTGCACAATTCTATATATTTACTAAAATTTGCAGAACCAAACATTTAAAATAAGTGAATCTTGCGGCATATAAATCACATCTTAAAAAGCTATTAACAAATACTCAGTGAGACTGTTGCAGGCATGAAGGGTAGGTTGAAATTAGAAAATGTTAATAAAGGAAAAAATATCTCTGGAAAATGTAGACATTTGACAAATTCTAATACTCACTTTATACGAAAATTCTTAAAACAGAAATGGATGAATACTTTCTTAGCATGATAAACTGTATCTATGTAGGCATGATCTTTATTTTTTAAAGATTTTACTTATTTATTTGACAGAGAGAGAGACAGTGAGAGAGGGAACACAAGCAGGGGGAGTGGGAGAGGGAGAAGCAGGCTTCCTGCGGAGCAGGGAGCCTGATGCGGGGCTTGATCCCAGGACCCTGGGACCATGACCTGAGCCAAAGGCAGACACTTAGCAAGTGAGCCACCCAGGCGCCCCAGTATGATCTTTAATAGAGAAACACTACAAGCTTTCCCACTAAAGTCAGGAATAAGACCCAGATGCCCAGTGTACCTCCACTACTATTTAACACTGTGTTAGAGATATTAGCCTATACAGACAGGAGAAAGCAACTAGAGCCAGAAAGAAAAGGTAAAATTATCTCTATTTGCAGATGACAGGACTACATACATATTTGAAAAATCCAAAACACTCAATGAAAAAACTAACTAAAGAGAAATTAGTAAAGTAGCAGGGTATAAAATTAACAGACAACTGCAGTTATAACTGTAAAATTCAATAAACTGCTAAGAAACTATTAACAGAAGAAAAGAAAAAAAGAAAAAAGAAAAAAAATACCTTACAACTAAAATTCCAGCTAATTTCCAAGGAGGATACTGGGGGAGGGCAGGGGAAAAAGGAACGGTAATAGCTTCTGTCCAATTACTAATGCTGACAGAGATGTGTATTTTTCAGAATTTAAAACTAACTACTAGAGAAAGAAAATCATGTATAAAACTTCTAAATCTGTGTTTGGGGTAGGGAGAGGTCTGATCAATCCAGTAAAATAAGGGGATGGGGAAGGAAAGAAAAACAAAACACACAATAAAAAGCACAAATTCAGGACGGTGAAAATAAGATCAAACAAACTAATCCCAAACACGGGAAGAGGTTATATTGTCTTATTAAAAGACAGACTCTTAAACTGGGTTAACGGAAGAAGGGAGAAATCAATTTATACATTAAGATATACTTTAGAGTGTTCCAAAGGCTCAAAATAAAGAAAATTGGTTTAACTTTCTCAGGAGACAACTAAATACTACATATCAACATTTTAAAAAGTTCTTATACCCAATAATTCTACTTCTCAAGAAATTCATCTGAAGATTACTGAACAAGTACACCAACATGTATAAAGAGGAGTAATCACTGTACCTTCTTTATAACATGAAAAAACAGAAACACTGCAATTATTATATTAGTATATTATATTATATTAGTATATATAGAGTTACACCATTAAATGTCTGCATATAAATAATGGAAAAATATGCAGCCAATATAAAAATTATTTATTCTTGGGCGCCTGGGTGGCTCAGTCGTTAAGCATCTGCCTTCAGTTCAGGTCATGATCCCAGGGTCCTGGGATCGAGCCCCATATCGGGCTCCCTGCTCAGCAGGAAGCCTGCTTCTCCCCCTTCCGCTCCCCCTGCTTGTGATCCTGCTCTTGCTGTGTCTCTTTGTCAAATAAATAATAAAATCTTTAAAAAAAAATTATTTATTCCACTGATTTGGAATGTTGTAGAAGATATAGTGAGTATATACAATGTTTCATAAAAGTGTGCCTATTTAGATTCTATTTGCAGTTTATTTAATTTTCTTTCTTTTTTTTTTTAAAGGAGAAGACCTAAGGTAAGAGCAGCAGGAGAAAGATACAATGTTGAACATGATGTCACAGAACAGTCTCTCTGTCCCACTGAGTGACAACTGCCCCTGGCACGGTTCCACGGCCAGGATGCAATCAAGGGTTTTCTTTCAGCACCAGCTACCAAATCCTGGCCCCAGTGTCAGGGGAGGACCTGTGAAAGTGCTACATTTACAGTTTTAAAGAAACACATATTTATATATTTCATATAGTTTATACTGTTATACTACAGATCATAAATTTTCTGGGCAGTAAAGTGAAATCTTTACAAAAAGCCCATATTATTTCTATAATAAAAAAAATTTTTTATCCTAAACATACGCCCACACAAAAACCTTTATAGGTATGTTCACATCAGCATTTTCATAGCAACCAAAAAGCTAACATAACCCAAATGAGCATCACCTGATGAACTGAAAAATGAAACAAAATACCGATACACGCTAAAACACGTGAACCTTGAAAATATGCTAAAAGAAGCCAGAAACAAAAGGCCACATTTCCATTTACATAAAAGATCCAGAATATGGCAGATCCACAGACACAGATAGATTAGTGGTTGTTAGGGACTGGAAAGGAAATGGGGAGTGCTATGGACTGTTTGTGTCCCCCCATGTTCCAATGTTGAAGTCCCAATTCCCAGAGTGATGGTATTAGGAGATTGGGCCTTTGGGAGGTAATTAGGTTTAGATGGAGTGATGAGAGTGAAGCCCACACAATGCGATTAACAGCCTTACAAGAAGAGACCAGAGAGACTGTCACCTAGTTTTCTCTCTGCCATGTTAGGACACAGAAAGAAAGTAGCTGCCTGTAAACGACGAAGAGGGTCCTCACCAGAACTCAACCATACTGGCACCCTGATCTCAGACTTCCAGCCTCCTGAACTGTGAGAAATAAATGTTTGTTGTTTAAGCCATTCTATGGTATTATTTTTACTGTGGTGTGAACAGGGAGTGACTGCTAATGGGTAAAGGGTTTCTTTTTGGCATGATGAAAATGTTCTGGAATTAGATAGTGGTGGTAAAAGCATAACCTCATAAATATGCTAAAAACCACTGAACTAAATATTTAAAAGGATGAATTTTATAATGTGAATTATATCTCAGAGAGAAAAAGGAAAAAATAGGCAAATAAATCTTGTTTATTCTTACTTTGGATTTCCTAATGGTCCCCCTGCAAATTGGGAGTTTCTGTCTAGAAATTCTTGCAAACCTTTTAGTTCTTGTAGCACTGACTCCAACAGTTGGGAGGGAACACTACTTTCAATCTGTAAGAAAAAAAGTATTTTCAAAAGCTTTAAAACACTGAAAAAGTGTATATGTAAAAAACATACTCTTTATAACTGAATGTCAAGTTTTAATAACAGTAATTATTTATGCTTGTTGCAGAATAAAGGACTAGATAGCCACATCCCTCCTATCCTGCTTTGGTTTGTTTTAGGTATAATTTACAGACAGTAAAATAAACACATCTTAAGTGAATATCTTGATAGCTTTTTATATTTTAATTCAGTCACCACCCAGACCACAATACAGAATATTTCCAACACCCAAGAAGTTCCCTAATGCTCCTTTCTAGTCACTAGTCATTCCATCTCCCAGCAAACCACTTTTCTTATTTGTCACCATAGGTTAGCTTTGCCTGTTCTTGAACTTCATATAAATGGAATCATATACTATGTTAAATAAATATATTCTTCTTCTTAGAAATGTGAACTTTAAAATAGTATCAGAATCGAAAAAATATTTGGTATCTTTCAGATTTAAAAAGAAAAAAGCTTAAAATAAATTGTATTCATACTTCATGTTTAAAAAATTTTACTACCTGAATTTATGAATTTATGATAATACAAAGGTTTACAGAATTTATTCTTTTTTTTTTTTTAAGATTTTATTTATTGGGGCACCTGGGTGGCTCAGTTGGTTAAATGTCTGCCTTCTGCTCAGGTCCTGATCCCAGGGTCCTGGGATCGAGCTCCACGTCGGGCTCCCTGCTCATCGGGGAGCCTGCTTCTCCCTCCCCCTCTGCCTGCCACTCTGCCTACTTGTGCTCACTCTCTATTTGTCAAATAAATAAAATCTTAAAAAAAAACTATATTTAATTTATTTATTTGACAGAGAGAGACAAGCAGGGGGGAGAGGGAGAAGCAGGCTCCCTGCTGAGCAGGGAGCCCGATGCAGGGCTCGATCCCAGGGCCCTGGGATCATGACCTGAGCCAAAGGCAGACCTTAACCGACTGAGCCACCCAGGCACTCCTACAGGATCTATTCTTAAAGTACTCTAGAAAGTATATTTATGCATGGAAATTAGTACTGGGTTCATGGAATTCGGGAGCATATAAGTGAAATATTAAATAGTAGCTTTGAGTAAATATTAAGGATTAGGACTTACTCTGTTTAACCCTCACAACAGGTTATTATTCTCACCTTATAGTGAGGTATCAGACTGAAATATTAAGAAAATGACTCATCATTTATATAAGTGACGGAGCTGGGACTTCACCCAGGGCAAGGAGTTTATTGGACACGTACACAAACACGTCCATAAAAGAATAATCAGCATCTTGTTTCTAACACCAAGAAATGTGAAACAATCTATTTATACAATTAATACCATAAAATGGTTACATACAGCAATGGAATACATTATACAACACACTTACTGCAGTGATTTCTCTGTTGCCACTCTTGAATACTCTCTCCACAACTAAACTCGCATCCCAGATATTTCTGAAATAAAAAAGTTTTAATAATTATGCTGTATAAACAAAAACAATTACAATATGTAGTAAATTCCTGTCTGTGTGTTTATCAAAGTACAGCAATGATTTAATACTTCACAAAGTTATCCAAAAGAATGGAAAACAAGAAAATTTCTAAACCTGATATACCTAAGTTATTTCACATCATGAAATACTGCTGAGAAAAAATCAAAAGACTCTGGGCAATGAATTGTAAACAAAGTTTATAATGCAAAAACAAATTTATAAAAGAGTATTGCACTGCTTCACATTTTAAGCAAATGATTCAAATGAAAGCATCCATCTCAAATAATTAACTGGATGATATGGTAGACTAATTGCAAAAATGGCTGTAATTCTTTGTCCCTCCTTATAGTTATCCTTTACACTATGACTTTGATGTGTCTCTCATAATGAGTTTATTTCCCATGTTTGAATGGATTCAATTTTTTTTTAAAGATTTTATTTATTTATTTGATAGAGAGAGACATAGCGAGAGAGGAAACACAAGCAGGGGGAGTGGGAGAGGGAGAAGCAGACTACCCTCTGAGCAGGGAGCCCGACGCGGGGCTCGATCCCAGGACCCTGGGATCATGACCTGAGGCGAAAGCAGACACTTAACGACTGAGCCACCCAGGTGCCCACCCCCTGGCTTTTTAAAAAGATTTTATTTGAATGAATTCTATTTTTTAATCTGGGTTGGCCTGGAGATGTTTCCCTGGCCCAGTGAATGAGGTTAAAATAATAGTAAGCCAACTTTAAACCTAGGCATCAAGAAGCTTTGCAAATTTCTACCCTGTCTCATGGGACTTTGCCATCACCAAGGGAATAACCCCTGGCTAACCTGCTGGAGGATGAGAGACCATGTGAAAAACAAAAACCCAATTGTCCCAGCAGAGACCATTCTACACCTGCATACAAACATGACCCTAAACATGTGAGACTCCAGCCAAGATTGACAGGGCTCTCTTCAATCCCACAGCTGAATGAGTATAAATGAGTTAGTCTAGCTAAGACCAGAACCACCTAGCTGACTTGCAGATACAGGTCACTGAGTTAATGGGGTGGTTTGTAACACCATATGTTAATATGTATGTGTATACATATATATAAAACACAACAAATACAGATGGTTAGATGATTTAAAAAAAGCTAAATAGAAAACAATTTTATTAATGAACAAGTGAGCTAAATAAAACTGTAAGTTAGATTTAACAGGAATAAATGATGTCCCAAATTTAAAGTTAAAAATATTCAACTACACAAAATAGGACAAGGTGAGCAATAGTTGGTTATTCCATGCAAAACTTACCCCATGATTCGAGAAAAGTAAATGCAAATACCATTGTGTTTTCCAGAGTACACAATCTCTGGTGCAGCCATACAACTCATACTTGCAGCCTGAGTTGCTGGGTTTCCTGAAACACACACTGGAGTTGACATGGCAGGAGGATGTACACCTTGTACACAACATAAGAAAGACAAATCTTTAAATTTAACCTTAAACATTCAGCATCCTCAATAACCACAGCCTGTGTATGTAGGCCCAAAGGTAAGAATATTTACAAAAATACTGGAATAAATAGGTATTGAATTTGGTTTTCCCTGGTAAGAAGAGACTCAGATTGGATAGATGCTCCCAGGTAGGCTTTCTAAGTGTCGGCATGCAGGATAAAAGGCAAGAAAGCTTGCAATCACTCCTCCTTAATGTTGGGAGTCAAACAGAGCTAATTATACAGATTTCATGGCTGCATATTAAATCCTGGTACCCAGATAAGGAGCTTTCAGGTATACTACTAAAGGTGTTCCTATGCAAAGGCATTCATGGCCAAATGTCAATACTTGCTTGGATGTAACTTCTATTCAACTACATTGTTTTCAAGAGACTAGGGGAAGTTAATATTTCTTTCACTAAGCATTAAGGATAACAGTATTAGCTCTTCAAAAAGAATAGTAGTAGCAATATAAAACAAAGAAAAGAGGTACCTTGAGATGGTGTTCCCAAAAATGATGGATTTGGATATGGACTACCACTAGGAATAGGAGAACCTAAAAAGGAAAGAAGATATAAAGATTTATAAAATAACCTCCCAATCTTTTAAATCTGATTAAATTAGGAGAAGCTGTTTCTCAGCATGAGTGCGGAGTGGCACTATCCATGAAATATTTAAGATTTAGGGACTCCGCTGATTTCCCAGGCATTTTCTAATAACTCCCACTGAGGAAAACATTGAGGTGGGAGTTTACTTGTTATGAAATCATTCACCTCCTTCCTTTTGGATAAATAACAAATGAGTTCTATAAATACTACTGGTTACATGTTATTTTGTTCTCTAACATGCATAAAGAACTCAGTATTAATATATCCTTGCTTTTAAGAGTCAGACATCTATAGAACTGTATTCACCAATAAAACAGTAGCAAGTAAATAAATATAAGGAAAAGCTTTGTTCATTAAAATATGCTAAGCAGTTTCTAAAACTCAAACTATTAGAAATAGTCTCATTTCAGTATTTTGTACTCACTAGAGTAGACAGGAGACCCCAAGATGGGACCAACATTACTTGGAGCAGGGAGAGTGGGTGGAAATCTCATCTGTGCTTCACCACCGTACCTGTTTTTATGACAACAGAGGCTGATCTTATTCAGTGAAATTATCCACCTTAAAAGATGGAATTGTTCCAAGTCCTGCTAGCTCCCAAATAAATGCTTTAAACATTACAGACTTTAATGTATTTTACAGTACTTATATCTATAAGCATAGATACAATACTTATTTAGAAACTGTTGACTTGAACCTCTACCAGAAAGAATTATAAGCGACTCTAGCAATTTCTAAGGGTCAGCAATGCAGAGAATTTACTTAAGAGTATATGGCACTGTAATTTTCATAACAGATTACAGTTAGATAGCACTTGAAAAATTGTTTTAAACAAATCACATTTCAAATTCTTACCTATAGCTAAATATTTTCCAAATAAAAATACCGTTTTGATACCAAGTTTCCTTAAAGTGATTTAGAATCCCTCAATGCCAATGATACAAGTAAAGCAGAATCGATATAGTGTTTTAGGAAGTAAAGATATGGTAACTGGAGTAGAAAGAAGTGTAGAAAAAAGACTAGACAGAAGAAGTTGGAGAACAGAACCCAGAGCAGGGGTAACAATTCATACATTGTATTAATCTAGCTACGTCTATTAGCATTATAATCTTTCCAGATTTCATCCTTTTGCAAAAAAATTTTACTATCTTTCCTATATAGTTCTTCAACTGTTTGGTAAGCCCTTAAACTACCACATTGACCAATGCTATCATTAAAAAAAGTGGCCAAGAACAAAAGAAAACTGACATATACCTGAAGAAAGCCCGAGTGGCCCATGCAGATACTTCTCTATCACAGGCAGCAGTGGAACAAGCAAGGATAAGGCAGGTTGCACAAGCCTGGTCTTCCTATTTAAAAAAAAAAGTTTCTTCCCTTATAGTAAACATAAACATTTAAAAAGAAGTTTTGGTTATTCTTGTATCCAGTGTTTCAATTTGTGCCTAGCACAGAGCAGGTGCTCAATATATATCTGCTAAGTGAATGAAATCAGTTGGTATGAAAAAGGAGAACGTTTATCAGAGGCACTATCATTAAAGGGTGCTTTTTCTTTTTATCTAGACTCTATTTTCGTCTATAGTTTATTCCCCTAATTTTCTTTCTCATGGTCTTTTTACCTTTTAGAAAATAACAACAACAATATAGCTATTTATTAAGTACCTGACATGTGCCAGGTACTATTTTAAAAGGTTAGCATATATTAACTCCCACATCATACACTATTATAATGCCTGTTTTACACATGAAGAAACTGAAGTTCACAGAACTAAAGTAATCTAACCTGGTGGCAGAGCTGGTGATTTGAATCCAGTCTCTCTGTACTTAACTTTGATCTGATATTCTTGATCTTAAGCTTTCTGAGTTTTACCTTCTCAATTCTAGCAATGGCTTTGAAATACTAATGGCATTATCACTACTGCCCCCAATTTTTTCATCAGGTCATTGGCAAAAAAATTAAAACAAAACAAAACAAAACAAAACTAAGAATTAAAAAAAAAAGGGGGCGCCTGAGTGGCTCACAGTTGGTTAAACGTCTGCCTTCGGCTCAGGTCATGATCCCAGGGTCCTGGGATCGAGCCCCACATTGGGCTCTCTGCTCGGCGGGAAGCCTGCTTCTCCTTCTGCCTGCCACTCTGTCTATCTGTGCTCTCTCTATCTCTCTGTCAAATAAATAAATAAAATCTTAAAAAAAAAAAAAAGATTTGTCCACAAATATCCTGTGTTTTAATAAAAATGTATTTATCATATAACTTGAACATGAGTTTCTTACTAGTATACTTTAAAATAAGAACTTATCAATAACAGATAAAAATCTGAGTTTACTGTATAAGCTTTACTTATTAATACTGCTCCCAAATATTAGTACACAGATAATGACCTATGTAAAGAAAGAAAGACTGCTAAGAGTACCTATTAATTACAGTATTTTGATCCTAACTTACATAAAATTCAGGTATTATTCTCATTGTTTTATTGTTTAAAATATCATAACATTTTTTTAAAAAGTACAAATAATTAATTACCTGATGTAATTTAAAGAATCTTTCAATCTCTTCTCCATCTCCACCCACATTACTCACAAGTAGGTGTCTCAGTTGATCTACAGGTCTAAGTTTATGAAACATAAGACTTCCCTAAAAAGTTTAAAAAAAAAAAAAACCACAACCATAAGTAATAGATTTATCTGGCATGGCTGGCATCAACTGACCCTGCTATTTTATTTAATAAAATCAACAAAACAAAAAAAAACCCCTTCAAGAATACAAAGTAAACTGGCCAAAAAGAACATCTACATTTCAACTCCCAACCTATACTAGGTCTATATATGCCCAAAGAAAATTTAATAAGAAAACAATGCTCTGAATGTCCACAATGCCAAACTGTGGAAGGAGCCAAGATACCCTTCAACAGATAAATGGATAAAGAAGATGTGGGTCAAATATACAATGGAATATTACTCAGCCATCAGAAAGGATGAATATCCACCATTTGCATCGACATAGATTGAATGGAGGGGACTATGCTAAGTGAAATAAGTCAAGCAGAGAAAGACAATTATATGGTTTCACTCATACGTAGAACATAAGGAATAGCGTGGAGGACCACAGGAGAAGGGAGAGAAAACTGAATGGAAAGAAATCAGAGAGGGAAACAAACCATGAGAGACTCTGGACTCTGGAAACCAAACTGAGGGTTACAGAAGGGAGGGGGATGTGGGGTGGGGTCACCAGGTTATGGGTATTAAGGAGGGCATATGTGGTGAGGAACACTGGGTGTTATACGCAACTAATGAATCACTGAACACTATATCAAAAACTAATGATGTACTATTATGTTGGCTAATTGAACATAAAAAAAGATATCACCTCAAAAAAACAAACAAACAAACAAACAAACAAACAAAAAACACTGCTCTGTAACACACAAAATGTATTCAGAGGGCATGTGCTATTACCATGCATAAAACATAGGTTTATAAAATGTTGTATCTACAGAGCCAGAACCTTAATTTATTTTTTGGTGGCGGTGAGTGTTTTCTTATTAAATTTAGAAAGTTGTCATACAGGTTCAAGTAAATATTTGAATTTAGAATACGATAAAAGCTGTCCCTCAAACCAGAAGATTAAAGTTAGATTATCCATTAATTATGTTGGCATATGTCCATTTAGAAAAAAAATGAAGCTGGATCCTTAATCAGGATATCAGGATAAATTCCAAACAGATCAGAGATTTAAAGGACAAAAATAAAACTATAATAGTACTAAAAGCAACTGTGGGTAAATTTTTTTTTATAAACCTCAGAATGAGGAAGGTTTTTTTTTTTTACTACTTTTATAAATCCGAAAAGATAACAGAAAATTTCGACTAATATGCTTACCTGTATGGGAAAAAGTCTCAGTAAACAAAATAAAATGACACACTAGGAAAAATATGATACTAAAATTACAGTAAGTTTCCTTGATAAAGAGCTTCTATAAATCAAAATGAAAAAGAGAACTCAATAAAATAGGGATAGTCCATAGAAAAATAAACACTTGAAAAGACTGTCCAAAGAAAACAAAAACAAAAAACAAAAAAGAACAAAAAAAAAAGACTGTCCATCTTACTCTTATTAAAATGGCATATTATACTTGGACAGGATGTAAGGAAACAGGCATCAATATTCATCAATAGTGAATGTATGCACGTATATATGAATACAGGGGAATCTGGCAACATCTATCAAAATTAGAAACGCACATATTCTTTCACCCAGCAGATATAATTCTACAGCTTTATTCACACACAAAGAAAATGATATACACATAAGGTTGTAGTATTACGAACAGCAAAAAATAATCCATCAATAGGGACCTAGTTAAATAGGGTACATTCATATAAAAGAAAACCTTTCAAATACAAAATAGAATGAGAAAGTTCTTTATATAATGATATGGAAAGATCTCTAAAATATGTATCTGAGATATAAAAAAACAAGGTATAAAATGGTGTATGTGATACACTACCATTTATTTAGAAATATTTTGTTTGTATGTCCACACCTCTGGAAGGATACACAGATGCTGATGACATGGGGGTCTGTAGGGAAGGGACCTCAACTGGAAGGGAGATTTTATTCTGTATACTCATTATACCATTTGAATTTTAAATGCATCACTATTCCAAAATCCAATATTAAAAAATGTTTTTTTATAAGTTAAGTGAGAATTAAAATAATAAATTTAGGTTATTTTGTTTTATGCCGCTAAACACTGGTCCTAGAAATGGTACTTTAAAAAAAAATAGAACACTTCATAAACAGCAAGCTCTTTTTGTTGCATTTTTGGTATTTAAAATTATTCCTTAAGAATATCTTTAAGAGTAAACTCTCCTAAAGTCCTTATGACTCCATTAAGCAAATATTGCAAAATACATAACATTAAACATGGCTTCTTTATTGTCTCCACCTTAACAGAGTATGTACATACCTGTGCTGAGAGGAGAACAAATTTCTTTGGAGGCAACATGTGCTGCTGTACCACAACCGGTGAGTCAGTTATTGGAATATGATCCTTATTTAAGGGTGTAATTATTTTATCTACTTTCAATTCATCTATTGCAGAAAGAGCCCAGGAATGACCATCAACACGGGTTGTCATCTATACAAAAGAAATAAACTTTTTATACCTGCTATTAAAGTTACATAAAGCAAACCTTCCAAAAAGGAAAAAACATATAGACCTAATTTCTAAGGAAATACAGAATTTTACAAATTAATAACACATGTATGTGAGCATTCCTAAGTTTCTATTTAATGCTCTACTATCTATTCCTTTAATCAGGCCAGCTTCTATGACAATTATCTTTCACGAAAGAAGGGAAAGACAAAATCTTCTTAGGATAAACTGTAAATAGTGTTTACTAGAATTGTAATTCTTTCGATACCCAAAAACTATATTCTACCATCTTTAGTAGTAGTAGAGGCTGGTTTATCCGGTTTGATCAGCATCCTCAGGAGGTAGGCAGCATGGGCTATGCAAGGGCATTTAGGAGAAGTAAATGGGGTAGAACAGGGGATACCAAAGTGGGGAGCAGAGATAGCCTTCCTTGGCCATACCCTTGGAGGTGCTGGCCTCTTCTTAGCTCATTTTGTGCTGAGGGCTGAGACGAGCAGCCAAGGTGTGAGACTGGGCTAGGACAGGCTGGGGCTGCACCTCTCATCCAGGACCTGTACATCAATTTCATGTAATATGCAGTGGTATTTGCTTTTAAAACACAATTATGGGGGCGCCTGGGTGGCTCAGTCATTGAGCGTCTGCCTTCGGCTCAGGTCATGATCCCGGGGTCCTGGGATCGAGCCCCACATCAGGCTCCCTGCTCGGCGGGAAGCCTGCTTCTCCCTCTCCCACTCCCCCTGCTTGTGTTCCTTCTCTCGCTGCGTCTCTCTGTCAAATAAATAAATAAAATCTTAAAAAAAAACCCCCACGATTATGTGTTTATGTGTGGACATTTGTATATGCAGGGAAGAGAGATCAAAACAAGATGGGGGGGCGCCTGGGTGGCTCAGTCGTTGAGCGTCTGCCTTTGGCTCAGGTCCGGATCCCAGGGTCCTGGGATCGAGCCCTGCATCGGGCTCCCTGCTCAGTGGGAAGCCTGCTTCTCCCTGTCCCACTCCCCCTGCTTGTGTTCCCTTTCTGGCTGTGTCTCTCTCAGTCTCTGTCAAATAAATAAATAACTTAAAGAAAAAAAAAAAAGAAAACAAGATGGGGAAAATCATTCCTCTATTCTTCTGTATGTTCAAAAATTTCTATAATTAAGGGGCACCCCTAAATAAATAAAATCTTTAAAATAAATAAGTAAATTTAGGCAGAACTACAAATTAAAGACATCATTAAGATAAAATTCTAAGGGGCGCCTGGGTGGTTCAGTTAAGTGTCCTACTCTTATTTCAGCTCAGGTAATGATCTCAGGGTGATGAGATCGAGCCCTGCATCAGGCATGGCACTCAGCGAGGAGTCTGCTTGAGATTCTCTCTCTCCCTCTGCCCCTCCCCCACCCCATGTATGCACACACTCTCTAAAATAAATAAAATATTTTTTTTAAAAAGATACAATTATTTTATTATTTTTTTAAGACTTTACTTATCCATCTGCCAGAGAGCGAGAGCGAGACAGAGCACGCACGAGCGAGCGGACAAGCAGGGGGAGCAGCAGACAGGAGAAGCAGGCTCCCTGGTGAGCAAGGGGCCCAACACGGGACTCAATCCCAGGACCCCAGGATCATGACCTGAGCCAAAGTCAGATGTCCAACCGAATGAGCCACCTAGGCATCCCAAAAAAGACGCAATTCTAAGTCATAACTATAATGGATGACCTCATAATTAAATAACTAAAAACATAATATATTTAAACGGCACAAAAATTATTTCAGAAAATATGTATGCATTTTTCGGATACAGTATGAGAAACATTCTAAAATGATTCCAATGTTTAAAGATATATATATTTTTTATTATTTTTTTTATTTTTATTTTTATTTTTTTAAAAGATTTTATTTATTTATTTATTGGAGAGCAAGCGAGAGAGAAACAGCATGAGAGACGAGAGGGTCAGAGGGAGAAGCAGGCTCCCCGCTGAGCTGGGAGCCCGATGTGGGACTCGATCCCAGGACCCTGGGATCATGACCTGAGCCGAAGGCAGTTGCTTAACCAACTGAGCCACCCAGGCGCCCAAAGATATATATATATTTTAAAGATATTATTTATTTATTTGAGAGAGAGAATGAGATAGAGAGAGCATGAGAGGGGGGAGGGTCAGAGGGAGAAGCAGACTCCCTGCTGAGCAGGGAGCCCGATACAGGACTCGATCCCAGGAGCTTAACCAACTGAGCCACCCAGACGCCCTGTTTAAAGATATTTTTAATGATTACCATAATGACTTCTAACCTCACGAAGGAAAAACAAATAATTAACAGGATACACTTCTTTTCAATATGATTTCTAATCATATATGATTGCTCAAAATAAATGCTATTACAACATAAAGATGCTTAAAATTTTACTCTTTACTTAAAATTACAAATTATAGGGGCGCCTGGGTAGCTCAGTTGGTTAAGCGACTGCCTTCGGCTCAGGTCATGATCCTGGAGTCCCGGGATCGAGTCCCGCATCGGGCTCCCTGCTCGGCAGGAAGTTTGCTTCTCCCTCTGACCCTCCCCCCTCTCATGTGCTCTCTCTCTCTCTCATTCTCTCTCTCAAATAAATAAATAAATAAAATCTTTAAAAAAAAATTATAAATTATATAAAAAATTAAGATTCTCAGGATAACTTACCTGGGTTTCCATCATTGGCTTTTGGAAGGGAAATGTATCATGGTTGACACACCACAAAATATCATTATCTTCATTTTCTGAAGCTGCCATCAGTAGAATGCCTAGAAGTTTAATACACAAAATCTTATTATATGATGCCAAATAATATGCATCCCCAATGTTCTTAAAAATATTAACTACTAACATTAATATATATAACATATATACATAGCATGCATTGTTGTAAGTAAACGAGTCACAAAATAAAAAAAAATTAATCCCTTAAAAGGACATATAATTATTAATAGGGTAGAATCATTAAGTGTTCCAGATCTTACACTTCCATTTCTTTTGAGTAAACACTTTTTTCACATCTTAAAATTTCTGACGTTATGACATATTTTGCAATCAATGGGCTTACGAATTTAATTAACTTTAAAAAAGTACATTTAATACATAAAAAATGTTGTAACTTTCAATCAACGGTATCTAATATTCAATGAAACAGAATTTCATGTACTGATTATCTCAAACATCATGAATAAAAATGACGAAGTTACTAGTGGAATGGCAGAGTAAACTATAAAAGATCATCTCAGCAATATTAGTTGATTTTGAAATATACTCTCTTGGACTCAATTCCAGCTCCTCCCGCTAACTTGTTTCCTTTATACTGACTTGAGAGATAGCAGCCTTAAGTCCACTGGATGATTATAGGTGTAAGGACATTATTAATGTAAGAAATTAAAATATTCTAAATTTTATTGGAAAATTTATTATTTTCAAATGGCTCAAAAGACATTCTAATTTTAACAATTTAAAAAATCCAATCTTAAATCTGATACGATATCAGAACTTACCTTTACTATAAAGAGCTTTATGTACTTTTGAAGGCTTTTCCACTGTTGAAGACGCTGAGAATCCAGGAGGTAAGCGGACATGAACCAGTGTCAATGTATTAGGTCGTGCTAATGGTTGTCTGAATGGACAAGTGCTGAAATATAACCTTACACCTGATGATGGGATAAAATTATACATCAGTAACAGAAAATGAAAGACTTGAGGTCCTTGTGTGATTGAAGCAATTCCACAGAGAAACACAGACATTTGTTAAAGTCCTAGAATCACCTTCCTGACTAATCTTAAATCACCATGTGTAATACCACCTGAAGTAGAGTTCTAAGACAGTGTCACTTGGAATTGACAGGTGAATCAACACATTTTAGCAGAAAGAATCTGCAACTATAAGCCAAGAGAGTCCTTTTTCCTATTCAGGCTCTGTCACTGAATATTAGCCACTTCACCCGTCAGACCTAGTTTGACATCTATAACATGAGGAGACAAAACCACAAGAATCTTCCAATTTTCAAAATCCTTAATTTTACGAATTATTAATATGGCTTGATAACTGATACAGAAGTAAAAACGCATTTCTAATCACAAATTTCCAAGTCTGAGGATTATCAAATTCTAAAACCAAGAGCAGACACAGAAATTAAACAACATACCTGCATGTGTAACCGCCAATAACTGACAGTCCAGGGATTCAGAATTTTCAATCACTGCTATTTGAACAACCGGCTTAAAAACAGAACGATCTATGGTCCTACAAGAAAGGGAAAAAAAACTAGTCTAATATGCTAAAATAAGACTAACTTCTTGGGAAATTAACACAGCAGCAGCAAGAGCAGGCAAACCCCCTGAATATGAGTTTACATTGTTAGACATTACCCTGTTTTCAAAGATCATAAAAGAAGGCTAACTCCATTGGGTAAATGGTTAATGAGGAAGAAGGTGTTCTCAGAGCATCAAATTATCATTGTAAAGATTACCACTAATTAAAAAGAAGGAAAAATGAAACTTTATAATGGAAAAATCTGGTAAATAGCACCTTAACCAAGTATTCAATAGTGGAAAACCTGGTGGTTACGTGCCTACTGATGTAACGCTGCAAGGAGTAATTCTGGTAAAACCAAACCAAAACCTCAATCTAATGATAATGGAAAAAGGACAAATTCAGAAATTGAGATATTCCACAAATAAGACTCTTGCCCCTCCCCACCAAATGTGAATATTTAGGGGAAAAGAAAGACAATGAGACATCTATTCTATATTAATGAGACAAATGACCAATTTAATTCATGGGCTCTGACTGAATCTGGGGAAAAATGGAAAGAAAAACAGCTATGAAAGATTTTTGGGACTGTTAAGTAATGTTAATATGAACTATATAATTAAAAGATAATACTACAAAATTATTAATTTTTTTAGGTGTCGAATTGGTATTGTGCTTCTGTAAGAGACTTAGGACATGAAAGTTGAAGGATTTAAGGGTGAAAGTCATGATGTCTGCAACTTACTTTCAAATAGCTCATAAGAATGAAAGCGAGCAAATAAGGGAAAACAGTAACAACTGTTGAATTTGGATAATTTGATAGGGTATTACCAGTTTTTACCATGCTGCTCTTCTAGTTTTTCTGTAGATTTGAAAACGTTTCCAAAAAAAAAAGTAAAGTTGGAGAAGAAAAAGGAAACCCTTTGTTTAAGATTGTCTGCCTTGAAAATTTTTTTGTCACTGAAAAGCAAAGAAAGCACTGAATTTTTGCTAGGATAGGTGAATGCAGCAATGACCCAAGCACATAGAAAACCGAAGCTGAAAATTTGAGGCCTTTGTTATTTGAAAAGAATTTCTGCAGCTGAGCTAAATTAGTTGTGATATACATAAATCACAGTGTACAGTGTCTGAAAAGTTGGCTTGTAACTTGGGTACTAGCACTTCTCTAGGACTCAGAGTTCAGACAAATCTTAACATCCTTTAGTTTCAGTTTCGTCAAGAATACAATGTGAACAATAAAACGGTGAAGTTCTGTATTCCCAAACTGCCCTGTGTCAATTATCAGACCAACTAAACTTATACTACACAGGCCTGTTAAAAGGTTGGAGCGGTGATCCCAGGGTCCTGGGGTCGAGCCCTGCATAGAGTCTGCTTCTCTCACTCACTCGCACTTGTTCTTTCTCTCAAATAAATAAATAAATAACATAACATAACATAAATAAAAGGTTGGAGTGGGTACTAGTGGGGAACTTTGAGACACGTAGTTTCCTAGTGACATCTCCTGTAATTGCCTATATAGACCACCTAAAGCTTAACACATTCCAAGGAAAAATAAAGTTGTACTTTACACTGTAAAAAAAAACCAGTCTGCCTTATGTTTCAAACCATCCAACATTAGAATTAAAGGAAGAGTCTTTCTCTAGGAGCTGTTTCAAACATAACCTCCAGTGTCATCTTCAACATTCCTTTCCTTTTAGAGATATTTTGAAGAGGAAATAATTTTAGTATGCCGCACATATATAGCATAATGATATGCCTTGTACAAATGAAATGCCTGACAATTAATTACCTAGCAATGTTTCCAGCAGCAGAAACAATAGAATTCTGTGAAACTGAGGCAACTCTGCTCATTCCTTGTCCATCTTGGCCCAAATCATATACCTGTGAATAAAAAATTGTACCCACTTAAACATAACTATAGCCCATACGCATTTTACAAAATAAACTTTTAGAAGACTCTTCCTTTTTAGGGATCCTTTAATTTAGACACTTCACACAGATATGGAAACATCAGAGATTTGAAATTTCATAAAAAAGAAGCCCTAAGAAGTAGTTTGGGATGTATTTTTAAAAAGCACACAGCTCATAGGAAAAGGCTAAGAGTAACTGAATCTCTTCCTTAAAAACAGGGATGTTCTTACTCCCCTTAAATAGTAGTGTATTAATACTTGCCTGTATTACTCCTTTCTCAGACCGTGTATATAAAATGTTTCTAGAATTATCAACTGCAATTTGAACAATAGGATCTAAAAATAAGACAAAGGAAAAAAACCTCTAAAGATTAACGAATTAAACAGAGTAGCCATTTCTAACAAATTTAAATTGCTGAATTAGAACTTTGCATTCAGGGGCTTTCTCTTGCTTTGCAGGTAAGTTCCATGATATTTGCATGAGGACAAAGGCAAGAAGCATTTAAATCAGACAAAATATGAAAAAAGCAGACATCAAATACTGTGACTAGATGAAGAGCCTCACAAATAAATTACTCTGTCTTCTTGATGAATTTTAAGCCAAATCAAAACCAAGTTCTAGATTATTTCTTCATTCAACAAACATTTAATGAATGTCTACTATATGCTAGAAACACAGGAAATAATTATACTCCGTGCATTCCTTCAAGAAAATAAATCATCGTGCGCGGGCGCCTGGGTGGCTGAGTCGGTTGAGTGTCTTGACTCTTGATTTCGGCTCAGGCCATGATCTCGGGGTCATGGGATTGAGCCCAGTGTTGGGCTCCATGCTCAACACGGAGTCTGCTTATCCCTCTCCCTTTGCTCCTCCCTGTTCCTCCCACTGTTCATGCTCTCCCTCTCAAATAAATAAAATCAAAAAAAAAAAAGAAAAAAAGAAACCTTACGACTATATAACAACTGTTATTTACTTAGTAAGACAAACTTTCAGTTAAGAATGAGAATTTCTGAAGAAAATGTTAAGTCAACAATCTTAAAAACTTTTGTTTGCCAAATTTATTGTTTTCTACTTACCATCTTCTGAGAATGTGAATTGTAGCAATGAAGGAACAAGGAAAGAAAGTGTGCTCTTTGAGTGGTTTATTTTCCTACATCTTTGGCTAAACCAACCTGCTTCTGCCTTAAAAGAAAAATTGAAAGAAGCAAGACTTGTAAATGTAGACACATTTGTCATAGCAACTAACCGTATAACCACATGTACAAAAATCCTCAAATCTTAGTGAAGTACCAATAATTGTAAATAAAGTGAGACATACTACTTGGAATAAGTACTGAGTTTAATCCTTTAATTAATAATAGAAAATGTAGTTAGCCATAATCAAATCATAGCTCTCAATGAAATCAGCTATTTCAAAACCTCATAGTGCTATGTTAATAAACTCATATTTTAATTATCTTAAAAACTCTTTTATCTGAAAGTAGTAAAGCAAATAATAAGTGCAGTCTGTAAGAGCCCAAAGTACATAGGATAGGGGTACTTGTATCATCTCTTCCCATTTTGGCTAAAAAGAAATCTTTTCTTTTTTTTTAAGATTTTATTTATTTATTTGACAGAGAGAGACACAGTCAAGAGAGGGAACACAAGCAGGGGGAGTGGGAAAGGGAGAAGCAGGCTTCCTCCTGAGCAGGGAGCCTGATGCAGGGCTCAGTCCCAGGACCCGGGGATCATGACCTGAGCCGAAGGCAGATGCTTAACGACTGAGCCACCCAGGCGCCCCTAAAAAGATATCTTAATAGCAGCCATCGCCACCATAATCTACAGTTTACCTCTCAATGTCTGACTTTTGCCATACAAAACCTTTGGGGTGGGGTGGGGCGGGAGCGCCGATAATGAACAAAGCCAAGAGAAACTAGGTAAGAAAGAGGTACAATGTAATATAAAAAACACAGCTGACCAGGGTTGTAATCCTAGCTCTGCCACTAATTAATTAGCCATGTGACTCTGAGAATATTACTTTATCAGTTTCCTAACATTTACCTTATGAAAAAAAGCCAGTAATACAGTAGGAAAAGACATAAAAAGACATTTCAGAGTAAACATACATGACCAATAAATACATGAAAAGATCCTCCCTCAGAGAGTAATAAAAAAAATTTCCTTCTATCAGATTGGTCAAAATTAGTAAGTTTGATAATACTACCATCAGTGAGGGGTGGTGGGATATATTCATAGAAGCCTGCTAAGTGGGGTGCCTGGGTGGCTCAGTTGGTTAAGCGACTGCCTTCAGCTCAGGTCATGATCCCAGGATCCTGGGATCAAGCCCCACATCTGGCTTTTTGCTCAGTGGGAGCCTGCTTCTCCCTCTCCCTGCTACTCCACCTGCTTGTGCTCTCTCCCTGTCAAACAAATGAATAAAAATTCTTAAAAAGGAAGCCTGCTAAGAGTCTAAAAAACTCTCAGAGGGCAATATGAAAATATTACAATTTTAAATGCATATGCTCCATAACCCAACCATAGGAATTCTAAGTCTCTACACAAAAAAATATCCACACATGTACACAAGGAGACCTGCAAAAGAACACTTATTATACCATTATTTATGAATAGGAAAACTGAAAACATAGAAGTCCATCAAGGAAGGAATTATTAAGTGAATAATGTACATCCATTTTATAGACAACTGTACAGCAATCACAAAACATAACACAGTTAAGTGAAAAGCCAATTATGTAACAAAACATAAGCAATAATCTAAGGAAAAACATACAGAAGTACATCACGTATTTGTATATGTGTATACATATAAATACATACAGATAGAAATTTATAGATACTTATCAATGTATCATGTCCTAAGAAGACATACTCAGAACTGGATTTTACTTCTGGAGAGAGGACCGGGTTTTGTAGGCATGGTGTAGTCATGCAAGGTTTTAACTGTATGTCTGAATACTTTTCATAAGAATATATTAATGTGCTTATATAATTAGAAAACAAAAGTAAAATCTATCCCTACTTTATCCAAGGGGAGGAAAAAAATGTTTATAAATGCCAGACTTACTTGGTATGCTACTTCATATAAACAGCCATCTTTTCCAGCCAAGAAAATTCTCCCATTATCAGTGGAAGTTATTGTTAAAAGGTAAGTATTATCAGTGGGAAGAGAATATAAAGGATCTGGAAGCAACTGCATTCCACCACACATACTGTCATTAAGAACCCCAGAACCTATTTTTTTTAAAGAAAGAATATGAATCAGCTTATTAGCGTTTTTGAAGTTTGAAACAATCACTACGTTATCTTCAGAATTGGTATTTTTACTGAATTCTTATTGACACACCTAAAAGCTTCTACAACATATACTTTTAAATTACTATAAAAAGTCTGATACAGTTTATTCAAGTTAAATAGAACCTACAATATGTATATATGCACAATATATGTTTTATATACATAACATTGTAAAACATCAATCGACAAACTATCCCAAATTACTAGATTTTGGGAAAGAACCCAAGGATTTGATAGTAATAATCATTAATTTCAGTCACTGAAATTCAACACTATTTCACCCAAAACAGATTGCCAGAATGCAAAAGAAAAAAATAAATTCAGGTCTTCTTATATTAAAGGAAAGAATAATGTATATTTCAGTGTTCCATATGTTAAAACAACCATTCAAAAAACCAGAAACAAATAAATTGAAAGCATTATAGAAAAACTCACTAGTGTCAATTATTTCTCTTCTACTACCCTTTTATATTGTACATTAAAGAATGCACATTAATATGATAAGCATATTCAAAATACTTGCTTGATGGAGCTACTAACCTGAAAGTTATCATACCTATAGGGAAGTATTATTTTCCTATGAAAAAGAGTCTGGAAAGATAACTTAGTGAAAAAAAAAAAGCTTTTAATTATATAAATTGGCTAACATATTTTTATTTTAAAAATACCACATGTGGTTTGCCATACCTGTTTGTAAATTAGCATAGCTAAGTCCAAGAATCACTATATCCACAGGGGTTGCCAAAACCAGGAGGTGTCGTACATGAGGTTGAAAGATGCCTAAGATAAAGCAGACGTGGGTTAGGGATTATTCCAAAAAACATCCACTTCCACTATTTAAGCATTGATAGACTAATGGTTTTACCATTAAAATGAACTAGTGATTAAACAGTATATGAAGGACGTGTCTGGCTGGTTCAGCTGGTAGAGCATGCGGCTCTCAATCTTGGGGTCATGAGTTCAAGCCCCAAGTTGGGCGTGGAGTCTACTTAAAAAAAAAAATTAAATAGTATATGAAAAGTCTGAACTCAATTTAATTTTGATGTTAAAATATTACTACCTATGAATATTTAAATAAGTAGATAGTAATAAAAAAGAACCATCTTAGAAAAGAAACACTTCAGGGTGCCTGGGTGGCTCAGTCGTTAAGCGTCTGCCTCCGGCTCAGGTCATGATCCCAGGGTCCTGGGATCGAGTCCCACATTGGGCTCCCTGCTCGGCAAGAAGCCTGCTTCTCCCTCTCCCATTCCCCCTTCTTGTGTTCCTGCTCTCGCTATTTCTCTCTCTGTCAAATAAATAAATAAAATCTTAAAAAAAAAAAAAAAGAAAAGAAAAGAAACACTTCAGTATTTAATACCAATTAAAATCAGCATTACATTATTAAATAGTTTATTAAAATATAAAGCCTTCTATTTGTATACTTAATGCCCACAGCAGCATAATTCACAGTATGCAAAAGGTGGAAGCAACCCAACTGTCCACCAACAGATGAATGAATAAACAAAATGTGGTGTATGTGTGTGTGTGTATGTATACATACACATATATGTATACATACATAGCAATATTATCCAGCCTTAAAAAAAGAAGAAAATTCGGGGTGCCTGGGTGGCTCAGTTGGTTAAGCGACTGCCTTCGGCTCAGGTCATGATCCTGGAGTCCCAGGATCGTGTCCCACATCGGGCTCCCTGCTCAGCGGGAGCACTCTTATGTTTTATTCAAGCAACCACAAAATTGAAACATGTATTCATACTCTTCTTGCCAATAAAGCAAACTCTTGCCAAAAAGCTTGAGTTAGAAAACAATGACTTTAAGAATAATATTTTCTTACAATAGGCAAAGTAAGATACGAACTTTGTTATAACGCTTTATGTTCGAGAGTCAAAATTTTCAGTGCTTATGGATAGCAAAGTCAGAGTTGTTTCATAATCAGGGTGGCTCATTCGGTTAAGTGTCTGACTCTTGATATTGGCTCAAGTCACGACCTCACGGTGAGATCCAGCCCCGAGTCCAGCTCTTTACCAGGCATGGAGCCTGCTTAGGATTTTCTCTCCCTTAGCCCCTCCGCCCCCCACTTGCACACTCTCTCTCAAAAAAACAAAACAAAACAAAAAAACAATTGTGAAACAATTCACACCTTTGTTGTCATATGAAAGACTTGCCATAATTTTAATTTTGCACTGAAGTTTATATTTGAGTAGAACAAAATTTTACTATTTATTTTAGATGGACAATTTATATTTATTAAAATACAGAGCAGGGAGAGCCCTCCACTGTTATTTTGAATAAGCTTTTAGATAGTAACTTTAAAAAAAAAAAAGATTTATTTATTTATTTTGAGAGAGAGAGAGAGCATGTGCATGAGCGCACATGAGCAAGCAGAGGGCAGGAGCAGAGGGAGAGGGAGAGTCTTAAGCACACTCTGCACTGAGTGTGGAGCCCCATGCAGGGCTCAATCTCACAACCCTGAGATCACGACCGGAGCTGAAACCAAGAGTTGGATGCCTAACAGACTGTGCCACCCAGGCGCACCTATGAATAAACTTTTAAATATAGATAAAAGAGATACATACCTCAGGGTGAAGAATACCTTGAGGTTCTATTTTAAGGAAATAAGTTTCCAATGTAATCACATAAACAGTGTATAAGACTGCATGTTTGTACCATGTGAATTATCATTTCAAACAGCTGCGAACTCAAAAAATTTTATTTAAGCCTTACAAACAATTTTGTCTACTATTTCCCATTGTAGGAAGATTTCTCATACATCCAAAAAATGTATGTTAAATTTAAATCAATCTATTATTTTGTCAGCTTTTATAAAAAAATCTGGCACAATGAAGTTGAAACTGTTAAACAATACTTGCCACTTCTTTAAGAGTTATTCTGAACTCTTTTCATTTCTATGGGCTATCAAGACTAAAAAAATGCAGAGACAAAAATGGTTTTTACATTAAATTCAGTAACTAATGAAAATGTATAATGCAAAAAAAAAGAAAATGTACAATGCAAAAAACTTCAGGCAAATAAATCAACAATGAGTAACAAAAAATAAGCAAAACAAAATTCAAAAATTATAGTTTAACAATTTTATTTATTAAAAAGTATTTTTTTTAAGTAAGCTCTATACCTAACATGGGGCTTGAACTCATGATCCTGAGATCAAGAGTCACATGCTCTACCAACTGAGCCAGCCAGGTGCACCAGTGTAACAATTTAAAGACAGATTCACTTCTACCATAAAGTGAATAAACTATTAAATATTCCTAATCACTTTACATATTTCTCATTAGAATTCAGACCAAACTTCAATAAAAATTTCAACTATGTTAAAATGTGCTGTTATTCAGTCCTATGCATATACATATGTAAATTAATCATTACATTTTTATTTCTTACCAGCTTTTGGTTTCACAAGTCCCACAGCAAGAATAGTCTCACTCAGTCCATCAAAATAGGCAAGGTCTCCTCTGCCAATAGTTAAAGAAAAACATGTTATACATATGAAGAAAATAGTTTCATCTAAAATGTTCTTTAAGACTATAGAATGTAATGAAAAATAAACCAGCAAAGAAAAGTGTTTCAATTACAAGATCCAGGCACACAGGTCTGTCTAAGGCTAATAAGCATAAACCAGGAAAACAGGGAGTGCTGCTCCCCATCCCAAACTTCCCCCCAACCAGGTTGCAAGGTAACAGCAATTCTACTGCTGGGGCAAGACCCCCTCAGAAAAACAGGGAAAGTGTAAGCCTGAGAGTGGAAGGGAAACATTGAGAAAAAATCTCCGGCATCCCAACCTGTATCCTAAGTATAAAGTAATTCTACAGGATGAAACCTGTGGTCCACTGAGGATAACCACAGCAATGACAAAACCCAACTCAGCTCAACTCCTGACTTGAAAAAAGTCAACTTTCCCCATTATATACGCCTACCTGCTAGGCCCATTTCTAAGGATAAACACTATTTACTGCAGTATCCACTGTCCTACACATGATATCTAGCTTTCAGAAAACACATGAGACAGAGCGCCTGGGTGGCTCAGTTGGTTAAGCAACTGCCTTCAGCTCAGGTCGTGATCCTGGAGTCCCAGGTTCGAGTCCTACATCGGGCTCCCTACTCAGTGGGGAGTCTGCTTCTCCCTCTGACCCTCTCCCCTCTCATGCTCTCTCTCACTCTCTCTCTCTCAAATAAATAAATAAAATCTTTAAAAAAAAACAAAACAAAACACATGAGACAAATAAAACACAGGAAAAAAAAGCCTGTCAAGAAACAAAGCAATCAACAGAAATGGACTCAGCTATGAGCTCAATGTCTGAACTACAGACAGAAAATTTTAAATAAATATGATTAATATAGTATGGGTGCTAATGGAAAAGGTGGATGACATAAACAAACAGATAAGGAACTTCAGCAGAGAGGTGAAAATTACAAGAAATAAGCAAGTGAAAATATTAGAAATAAAAAGCACAGCATAGAGAAAGAACATCTTGTAAGAACTTTTTAAGTAGACTTGACATAGCTAACGAAGGAATTGGTGATCCTGAAGTTGGGTCAATAGAAACTGTCCAAATTGAAACAAAAAGAAAAAAAAAATGGAGAAACAAAAATAGAACAGAGCATCCAAAACCTGTTGAAGAACATCAAACAATCTAACAAAAGTATAAAAATTTCAGAAGAGGGAAAGAATGGGACAGGACAAATATTTGAAGGTAATTACTGAAAAACTTCCAAAAATAATGAAAGATCAAGAAAATCAGAAAATGCCAAGCAGAATAAATACCAAGAAAAAAATATATGATCCAGACTTTGAAGAAAACTTCTGGTTGTCCTGAAAAGGACCAAGCAAACAGGAAGAAAACACCTCAATGGCCACTTAGGTAAGCCAGGTTTCCCCGCTTTTTTCCATATTGTGATAACTGGCACAGCCTCCAGAAACTAAGACCAATACTGGGGAAGTTAGAGGTTACAGAACAATAAGTGGGACAAGATTATGCGCCTATTATCCAGGTGGAATTAGGATTTATAATAGAAAGCTAATGGAATAATTGAAAGGAAGCCCAAGGCTTTTGCAGTATTGAACTTGTGAACGAAATAAAGATTTATACCCAGGACTTGTGCCTTGATTTTTTTTTCAATAAGCACATTGTTCAGATGATTTTTCTTTAAATGAGTTCTAGTTTTAACACAGTAAGGTTGGACTGTATGTTCCATGTAGATAGAGACTTTATTTACCGCATTCAATGCTATTCCTAGCACAAAACAGTGTCTGATACATGATAAACTCAATATTTTATTATGATGGATATATTAGATGTTAATGGAAATATAGAAATTTTCATTAAAGGGAAAACCCTTAAGGAAATTATCCTTACATTTATCTATTATGCAGTTTTTTGGCATTTGGTTTTCTTAAATACATTCATGCCTAAATGAAGAGGTGTTATTCCTTAGTATCAAAATGACCATGTTACAATAATACAACAAACTAAAGTTCAAGATATATGAAGAACAATCACAACCATACATCACTGCTATTGGGACTATATAACAGTTCAATCATAACTCTAGCTATAAAAAGTTCTAATCAAAAAAAATCAGTGAACAAAAATGGTTTCATTTAAGCTACAAGTTCAAGTTGTCATTTAGTGTCACTTCAACTCAATGATACAGTGTATGTGTGTGTGTGTGTGTTCCTAACAGGTGTCTTAATTACCCAAGGAAAGAGTAACAACTACATGGGCCTTCTTCTCATTAACCCACTTAACCACCTAAAGATATTATGACAGAGAACTGGTAATATGCCAAAATTTATCTCCAGAAAGCCAGGTGAGATTATCAGATCAATAAACTTTATTTTAGCAAGAAGATCTTGGACCTTCACTCAGACTGTTACATACATTCAAATTACACATAGATCAAGCTCACAGACCAACAAAACTGTTTAGTCACTTCAGTAAGTTAAGAGACTCCCAATGCATAGAAATGCATCGAAAACAGAGATCCTTAAAAATGTCAAACGATCTATCAAAAAAACTGATAGGCTACCTTATTGGAAGGTAAGAACTTGGCAACTAGACCCCTGCTACTCAGAGTGGTACTCAGACTGGCAGCATCACTGGGAGTTTGTACAAATGAGGACTCTTGAGGCTCACTCAGAACTACTATAACAGAGTCCACATTTTAACCCCCTACCCAGGTGATTGGTATGCATACTGAGAAGCAATGATCCAGATGTTAGATGAATGAAAGATAAACCATGCAGCTTCTGATGAGTAGAACATCAGCTGCAGTTAAGATAATCTAAATTCTAACCATGCTACAGCAAACCAGCATTAAATACATACCCGTCTTCATAGTTCCACATGAATATGTCACTGTCAATTGTGAGCCAAGCTCTGCTGATAGGAGGGAACACGCCCATCATGCAGTTACACTGCATATCTGAAGTAGTGTGGATGTAAGGCAAAAAGATTTCAATCTTATCTTTCCTAAATTTGTTTTGAAAGATTTTGGTTTAAAATTTATGATTAAGGGGTGCCTGGGTGGCTCAGTCATTAAGCATCTGCTTTGGCTCAGGTTGTGATCCCAGGGTCCCGGGATCGAGCCCAGAGGCAGGCCCCCCGCTCAGGGGGGAGCCTGCTTCTCCCTCTCCCACTCCCCCTGCTTGTGTTCCCTCTCTCGCTCTCTCTCTGTTAAAAAATAAATAAAATCTTAAAAAAAGAACTTGAAAATTTATGATTAAAAAATCATGACCTAGCCACTCTTTAATAGAAAGAGCAAATAAAATATCTTGATTTCTAATAAGTTTAATGAAAGATATAGCTATGACAGAAATAAACCTGTAATTTATAATTTCTAAATAATGCTATCTGACTACCTGAAATGCATTCTAAAGGACAAATGTAATGTTTTTACCATTACTAACTTAAAAAAGAATACGGATTATGAGTAACACCATTAAATTTTGACATGAAAAAACTTACTGGACCAGTTTCCCCAACTGTATAAGAGCAAGACTGATTAAAAAAAACCAAACACATGGTATGCTAAAGTCATAGCTTGACTATTTGCAAGCTTCTTATAAATATGACTGAGGGGCGCCTGGGTGGCTCAGTCGTTAAGTGTCTGCCTTTGGCTCAGGTCACGATCCCAGGGTCCTGGGATCAAGTCCCACATCGGGCTCTCTGCTCGGCAGGAAGCCTGCTTCTCCCTCTCCCACTCCCCCTGCTTGTGTTCCCTCTCTTGCTGTGTCTCTGTCAAATAAATAAAATCTTAAAAAAAATAATAATAAATAGTCTGATTGAAAAACAAATAATATGTAATTATAAGACAAGGAAACAATTATCAAATAATTTCCTTTGCAGAAATAGTATTATCAGAAGATAAAAGAAGAATATTAAGAAACTTAGCAAGGGGGACGCCTGCGTGGCTCAGTTGGTTGAGCACCTGCTTTCAGCTCAGGTCATGATCCCAGAGTCCAGGGATCGAGTCCCATGTCAGGCTCCTTGCCTCAGACAGAGGGAGCAGCTGGCTAGCTTCTCCCTCTGTCTGCAGCTCCCCCTGCTTGTGCACTCGTGCGCATGCTCTCTCTCAAATAAATAAAATCTTTAAAAAAAAAAAGAAAAAAAAAAGAAACTAAGCAAGAGTAGAATATGGGATAAGGTATGTTTTATATTTAATAACACTATTTCACAAAGTCTCAGAGAGACAGTGAAAATTTTAGGGAAAATATTAAATTCTACTAGTTTTTCTACATACAAGTATTCCTCAATGTTCCATTTCCTTTATTTTTCTGTCAGACCGTAATGAAATTTGAAAAGTTTTTACTTTAAATAGATTAATATACTTTTAAAAATCTCATTAAATATTAATACAGCATCTTAATGTCTAAATTATGAGGGCTATAGATTGATAAAAAAGCTTCCTAGCAAATTTAACTATAAATCTAATGCCTTTATAGGATATGCCACACTTTTAAAAAATTAGACAAAATCTTTCTTTTTAGAGGGTAAGAAAACTCCTCTAGTAACTCAGTCTATGAAGATGCCATTAGTGTTCCATTCTTATTGTGATCCTTAGCACTTACAGACTTTAATTCTAAGATAGCAATCAGTGCAAAACCATACCAAAAAATTTTGGGGAGGGGGAAAAAGAAGTACCTGGCAGTTTGTCTTTAAACAGTTTTAGAACAACACCCCAGTTTTAAAAATGTTAAAATATGAGAAAAAATAAAAATGAAAATCATGGGTCTTCCAGCTAAAATGTGGTAGTAAAAGCTTCCTTGTATAGCATTTAACTGGAAAGTACTACTTTGCAAGAATATCATTCAAAAATGCAGAATTCCTTGTTAACAATTCACTCTCTTCAATGTCCCAGATTAATTAAAATGTGATTCAATTTTCAACATTCAATGTTATATGAAATTTTCTAGGCACATGGCAAACCACCCACATACTTAAAATATTTTTTAAATAGAACTCTTAAATGAACTGATATACACACACCAATTAAACACAAAGCAAGAATTATAATAAGAATAGCAATTTAAAAAAATTTTAAGGAGTTAAAAAACAAGGTAACAGGATACGTCCAAACTGTTCAACAAGTTCAGGTGGGAGAGGAACTCTTCGGATGGAACTCATCTCTGGAAGGTTGGGTACTGACAGCAAACCAGGTCCTTGTAGAGGATAATCCATATCTGACATCCCAGAAACAGTGGGATTATCTGCAAGTAATAAAACAAAGCATTTATTAAAATAATAATGTTTTGGGCATCAACTAGGCATACTGAAGCACTGCAAGCTAAAAAAAAATTGTGCATCTGGTGGTTGTAAAAGGTAGAGAGAGAGAATAAAATAGTTCTGACCCAACACAAAGGAAGCCTGAGAAAATCCAGTGTTAAGGTGGGGGCAATTACAGGTTTTAGCACTAAACACAAGGTTATCTTTCACAAAGATTCCATTAGAAAGGAAATACTTAGTTCAATAATTTAGGTTTTTTTCCTATTATTTTATTAATCTGAAATGGGCAAATATTTATAAAACCACTTTGTGATTGTCAGATAAAACCATTATGAACAAAATACTGATTGGGGAAAAAACAGATTTCTTTTCCCACTTAAATATTAATAGATTAAAACAATCTATGCATTTTTCTTGTTAGACCACCCCCAAGACCAATAAGATAAATACAAATAATACCACATAAGCAATATTTTATTGGGGGAAACCACAGACTGCTCTATAAAGTGTTCTCATTTGGCAACCCTTCTCTTGCCCTAAGACACAGTCACCTAAGGGCAGGAGTGCGCTGCTCTATTCAGCCTGTCCTTTCTATGTCTTGAACAGGGAGGTGTTCTTTAGATCTGACTGATGACCTGTTTATCCCAGGCACCTTCCAGGCTCTCTTTAAGTACAAAGATGTTGGGGAAAACTGACATATAAAAGAAATTCTAAATGTATTAGGGAAATTTAAAATACACAACTAGAGAGAAAAATGCAATCAATTCCTATGTACTGATTGATTACCCAGTTTCAACAATTACCAATAACATGCCTGATCATGTTTCATTTATATCCCTAGCTATTTCTTCCCTAATGGATTTTTTGAAGCAAATCCCAGACATCCCATTTAATCTTAAAACATAATTTTAATGGGATATTGCACGGGGTGCCTGGGTGGCTCAGTCATTGAGCATCTGCCTTCGGCTCAGGTCATGATCCGAGGGTCCTGGGATCCAGCCCCGCATCGGGCTCCTTGCTCCGCGGGAAGCCTGCTTCTCCCTCTCCCACTCCCTTTGCTTGTGTTCCCTCTCTCACTGTCTCTCTCTGTCAATAAATAAATAAAATCTTTTTTTTTTTAAAAGGATATTGCACATGTTAAATGACAGTGGGAACACAATGGATGGAATTAATAATTCCAGTAAGAATGTGAATGGTTAGGGTTTTAGAGGGGAGGGGGTGGGGGGATGGGTTAGCCCGGTGATGGGTATTAAGGAGGGTACATATTGAATGGAGCACTGGGTGTTATATGCAAACAATGAATCATGAAACACTACATCAAAAACTAATGATGTAATGTATGATGACTAACATACGTAATTAAAAAAAAGAAAAAAAGAACGTGACTAGTTAAGAAAGCCCTCACAAAGGAAGTGATATTCAAGCGAGTCTGGAAGAATGTCAGGCAAAGAAGAAAGAACATTCCAGAAGTAAATGATGATGTAAATGATGATGTAAAATAGAATCCCGAAGAAAGAGCTTCTTATGGAAAACATGTTAAATTCAGTGTGACTGGAACAAAGAGTTTGAGAATAGGATGGAAGAAGGGGAGGAGATTAGGTTGAAGAGGTTGGTGTAAAGGTGGACAGAATCGATTTGAATCAGATTAAGAGAGGACAAGAATGTATGGACTCTTTTTATGTCTTGCTTTTCAAACCTAAGGAGGTAAAAGGAAGTAATGCTGTTCGAGATGAGAGTTACTAATAGGCCACTCAGTTCTTACAAGCACTGGTTAAGTAGCTGTCAGGAACAAATACTACATGTGTTTTATTTCCATCCTTTCTGATTACAAGCCTACTCAATGACTTTTATAAATCGCCACATGTCGTTTAGGTTTACATTGCACAGATTATCCTTGTTACTTTATCTTGGTTATTGTTTACCAAAAACCTTGTCTCTTACACTTTTTTTCTCCAATATAGGTCTCACAAAGGGGCCACTTTTTTTTTTTTTAAAGCAACTTATGTAATTCCATGCCTCGAGGAACCTGGTCATAATTTAAAACCATTAAACAAAGTATTTTCCCATCGCCTCTCTTTTGTGGGCCCATACACTGCCTTACCCTCCCTGTTCATCATCACAGCTAATATCCCTGCTCTCTTCCTTTATTCCACTGGTAGTTCTTCTCAACTACCTTTGTATTACAGGACTTTGTATTACACTAACTCTACACATAATAAAGACTATCTTTGAGAGAAGATAGTAAATTTCCAAATTAACTTCGCTTGCCCGTCTGTTTTAGTCTAATGTTAATGAGGAATCAAGAAGAATGAGACCTGGATCAGGTGATCCTACCCAACTGGCCTTAGCGATGAACACTCGGAGGCAGTGAGCAGCTCATTAAGTTTGGGGTCTTTGCTTCAAATGGGGGATTGCTCGTCACTCCTACCCTCTCAAATATCGGCAGTGAAGTGAGAACAGGAAAATAAACGGAAAATAGGCTCTTTTTCGCTCTTTAAAATGTAGCACAGCTAAATCTCAAATGTCTTCGCTGGGCCCACCCTGGGGATAAGGACCTAGTTAGGAAGTCAGGCGAGAGTCCTTTCGGCCGAGAAAGCAGTCACCAAATGGGCACTGATCACTCACTTGGGGCAGACACCATGAGAAGCTCGGAAAGGTCCGGGTACATGCGGTCTTCTTGCAACTGACGGTCGATGAGCCGCCCTGCATTTTCCAGAGTTTCCTGCAAAGCTGAGGCCGACGTGGAGGCCGGCATCGCCGAGCCCAGTAAAGAAGACGGCATGTCGAGACTCGGAGACACCAGCGTCTGAAAAAAGTAAAAAACCAAGGAGAAAAGAGAAAAAAACCCAACACCCTGGCTCAGACCCACAGCTTACAGCGCGCGCGCCAAACGAGCGCCTCGGCGCCTGTGCATGACGCACTTCCGGTTCATCTGGAGGGGAATTTGAAGGCTGCGTTTTGAAGCTGAAGAGAGGAAGCTGTGGAGGGGGCTGGACGTTAGGGGGCGGAGCGAGTGAGCGGAGGCACTTTCCCGGGCGTAGGTTGGATGCTTGAGGGTGGGGGAGGGGAAAATCCGTGGAGGTTATCTAGGGAATGGAGGAAAGAAGGGGAAAGGACCGGGGGAGGAGAAGGCCGGGAGGGGTGGGGAGGTGGGAGGGAGCAGGGGTCGGGGAAGTGGGAGCTGGGTAGTGCCCGGCAGCGCAGGCTGCCCCAGTTCTGGTGGGTTTCGCGAGCGCTGGATCTTGGTGTCGCGAGCTTTGCAGGTTAGAATCTCTCAACTGCAATTACTTAAGAGTTTGCGCGTCGATTTCTTTGGCACTGCAAACAACTGCTCTTGCGAGAGTGGATAGTGGTAGCTTGTCAGAAAGTTTACGTGTGAACCAAAATTTCACATTTCTTAGGGGCTTCACTGTATATTCATCAGACTTTTCTGGCCGGGTCAGTCAGTAGAGCATGTGATTCTGGGTGTCTGGGTGGTGAGTTCAAGCTCCACCTTGGGGTGGAACCTACTTAAAAAAATTCATCACGCTTTTCTGTTTGTGTATGGCTACTGTTACTATAAAGAACTGTGTGTTTACTGAGTCATTCGTTGCATGCAGGGGGCTGTTGCCTTCCTTTATTTCTCATTACAGAGAGGAAAATGAGTGTTCATTGGTTGATCCCCAGCACAAAGTAGAGGGACTGGTATAAAGTAGGTCACCCAATACATCACCAAGTCCTACAGAAATTGAATTTATAATTTGTGTCAGGCACTGTGCCTGGTGCTGGGAATATCAAACTGACACATCCCTGTCCTCAAGGTGCTTCATGCAGGGACACACAAAGTGAAGCAATAAAGTGCATCACCATAATGTTTTATGGGGTATGTGTTAATTGCAATAGGAGGATAAGATGAGCAAGAAGAGGTAAGATAGGTTCATTTCACACAGAAGGCAACTGGAGTGGTCAAATCAAAGCACTCTTTCAAAGAGCATTCCTTATTTAGAAACACTAGAATTGGGCGCCTGGGTGGCTCCGTTGGTTAAGCAACTGCCTTCGGCTCAGGTCATGATCCTGGAGTCCCGGAATCGAGTCCCGCATCGAGTCCCGCATCGGGCTCCCTGCTCGGCAGGGAGTCTGCTTCTCCCTCTGACCCTCCTCCCTCTCATGCTGTCTCTCATTCTCGCTCTCAAATAAATAAAATCTTTAAAAAAAAAAAAAAGAAAAGAAAAAAGAAACACTAGAATTTGTCCTTATTTAGTGCTCATTTAGAACCACACTTAAGTAAACTTCATCCCCTTATATTCTTAATAGTTTAGCTAGTCAGTAACTGAATTACTCCTTTGAAAGAGGACTTCAACTACCCTTTTTTTTTTTTTTTAAGATTTTACTTATTTATTTGACAGACACAGCGAGAGAGGGAACATAAGAAGGGGGAGTGGGAAAGGGAGAGAAGCAGGCTTCCTGCGGAGCAGGGAGCCCAATGCGGCACTCGATCCCAGAACCCTGGGATCATGACCTGAACCGAAGGCAGATGACTGAGCCACCCAGGCGCCCCATCAACTACCTCCATTTGATCTCAAACTTTCCAATTGATTAAGTTCTTCTTTCCAGCTTATCTCTTTTTTTTATAATTCTTTTTTTTTGCATTTTTAAATTTTATTATGTTAATCACCATACATTACATCATTAGTTTTTGATGTAATGTTCCATGATTCATTGTTTGCATATAACACCCAGTGCTCCATTCAATACATACCCTCTTTAATACCCATCACCAGGCTAACCCATCCCCCCACCTCCCTCCCCTCTAGAACCCTAAGTTTGTTTCTCAGAGTCCATAGTCTCTCATGGTTCGTCTCTCCCTCCAATTCTCCCACTTCATTTTTCCTTTTCTACTATCTTCTTCCTTTTTTTAACATATAATGTATTATTTGTTTCAGAGGTACAGATCTGTGATTCATCAGTCTTACACAATTCACAGCGCTCACCATAGCACATACCCTCCCCAATGTCTATCACCCAGCCATCCCATCCCTCCCACCCCCTACCACTCCAGCAACCCTCAGTTTGTTTCCTGAGATTAAGAATTCCTCATATCAGTGAGATCATATGATACATGTCTTTCTCTGATTGACTTATTTTGCTTAGCATAATACCCTCCAGTTCCATCCACATCGTTGCAAATGGCAAGATTTCGTTCCTTTTGATGGCTGCATAATATTCCATCGTGTGTGTGTGTGTGTGTGTGTGTGTGTGTGTGTGTGTGTACCACATCTTCATCTTCTTTATCCATTCATCTGTCGATGGACATCTTGGCTCTTTCCATATTTGACTATTGCAGACATTGCTGCTGTAAACACCGGGGTGCCAGCTTATCTCTTAACTCAGGCCAAAGATCCTGCTAGCAAAGCATCCTGTGATGGGAACAGAAAGTACCCCCTCAAACAATTAGGACTGCCCTGAGCCAGCAAACCCTGCCTGTAGTTGACCCCCAAGATAATGATGGACCTGACCTTTACTGCCCACTTGCCTGTATCTACTGACCTTTGTCCCACATTTTCCTTATATAAACCTAGGAGTATTTTTAGCAGTTTGGAGACAGCCTTTGAGATACTAGTCTGCTGTCTTCCCAGTGTTGGCCTCAAGTAAATTCCTTTCGTTTCATCACCACTTGTTTCTCTGCCTTTGGATTTTTTAGTGGCGAGTGGCTGAACCTTGTTTGTTTGGGACCCCTTGAGCCAGGTGCTCTTGTGCCCCTGTGCCCAGGATACAGAACTACGGTCTTTGCTAAACTATGGTCTTTTGCTACTTGAATTATTTTTTACTCCCTCAAATAAGGGGTTGACTAAATTTCTGAATATTAAAATTTCTGGGATGTTAACAGATCTATCAGTATAATTTAAGACTTTGTGGTAAATATATCAGGAAAAATTAGATTTGTATTGTTGGTGGATAAACAGGCAGATGGTTCTCCAGCCATCAACTTTCTTTTACTCGGTAGACCACAGATTGAAAACTGATGGTTTGGCACAGTGTTTGTTTGTTTTTACTTTAAGATAAAACATATGATTGAGAGTTTTCAATTCCACAAATTGGATGATCTGGAATACTGGTCTAATATTCCCGCACTGCAACAATATTCCCAGGGGCCTAATTAGGTCCAAGGACTTCTGTTCAGTTGTATATTGCCTATGGTTGCTTTCCAGCTACAACTGCTGAGTTGAGTAGTTGCTACACAGATGACACAAAGCCTAAAATATTTACCATCTAGCCCCTTACAGGATAAGTGTGCTGAAGTCTTCCTTAAACAGTGATTCTAAACTTTTTTTTTTAAAGATTTTATTTATTTATTTGAGAGAGAGAGCACATGAGAGGGGGGAGGGTCAGAGGGAGAAGCAGACTCCCCGCTGAGCAGGGAGCCCGATGCAGGACTCAATCCTGGGACTCCAGGATCATGACCTGAGCCGAAGGCAGTTGCTTAACCAACTGAGCCACCCAGGCGCCCGATTCTAAAACTTTTTGATCTCAGGACTTCTTGAGACTCTTAACAATTATTAAGGATTACAAAGAGTTTTTGTTTTGTGTGGGGTGTATTGATTAATAATTGCTAATATCTCTTAAAAACAAGAAATTTAAAATGTCATTTAAAAGAATAAACCTTGGGGCGCCTGGGTGGCTCGGTCCTTAAGCGACTGCCTTCAGCTCATGTCATGATCCCAGGGTCCTGGGATTGAGCCCCGCATCGGGCTCCCCGCTCATCTGGGAGCCTGTTTCTACCTCTCCCTCTGCTACTCCCCCTGCTTGTGTTCTCTCTCTCTGACAAACAAATAAATAAAACCTTAAAAAAATAAAAGAATAAGCCTAATCCATTTTAATTTAAATGATATATATTTTATGAAAAACCACAGTTTCTAAAATTAAATATTAGAAGAATGCATTATTTTACATTTTTTCTAAGTCTCTTAAATGTCTGCCTTAATAAGACAGATAAGATAGCTAGATTTTCATATCTGCATTTGTCGTCAGTATGTTGTGATCTGTTTACTTGAAGTATATAAAGAAAAGCGGGCCTCACACAGTTATGTAATGGGAAAGGGAGAAGTGTTTTAATAACCTTTTTAGATAGTTGTGAATGTCATTCTCTGATAGATTACCAAAACTTGACAAGTGGTATAGTTTTTTGTTTTTTTTTTTAAGTGGGCTCCACACCCAGAGTGGAGCCCGACACAATGCTTGAACTCATGACCCTGAGATCAAGACCTGAGTTGAAACCAAGAGTTGGCCATTCAACCAACTGAGCCATCCAGGCATCCCAAGTGGTATAGTTTCTTTTCTTTTTAAAAAATTTTAAAACTTATTATTTATTTGAGAGAGACAGATAATGAGAGCACACGATTGGGAGAGGGCAGAGGAAGAGGGGGAAGCAGGCCCCCCGCTGAGCAGGAACCCGGGATCATGACCTGAGCAGAAGGCAGCCGCTTAACCCACTGAGCCACCCAGGTGCACCACCCTAAGTGGTATAGTTTCTTAAAAGTTAGTTATGATGTGGAATTTGAAACCATCAGTGAATTTTTTTTGAACTTTGTTAAATTAAAGACCACTCGTCTATCTTATATTTTGGACTTTCTATCCATGCATGATTCTGTAACAGTATGTGTTGGTCATTTGGGAAATATTGGCTGTCTAAGTTATACAGAACTTCCAAATGTTGACATATTTCATTAACCAATAGAAAAGAAAAAATGATCGTGTTGGGGCGCCTGGGTGGCTCAGTTGTTAAGCGTCTGCCTTCAGCTCAGGTCATGACCCCAGCGTCCTGGGATCGAACCCCGCATCGAACCCCGCATCGAACCCCGCATCGAGCTCCCTGCTCCGCGGAAAGCCTGCTTCTCCCTCTCCCACTCCCCCTGCTTGTGTTCCCTCTCTCGCTGTG